TTGTTTATTTGTTTTGAGTGATTACATGTTATATCTCACTGATATTTATCAAATATCATCGCTATGATAACTTAATTATCTAGTTCATACTTAAAAATGAAGACCCGTTTTGTATTAGGTTTATAACAAATTCAAAACTTTTCCACAATGGGTGATTTGCTTGTAAATGAAATGAATCAGAAACATTAGTATAGCTTACTATATAAAAGTTAAGTACAATGTACTTTAAAAAACTTTCTCATCAATACGTGCGCAGCTTTAAGAATCAGTTGAATTAGGAAGTAGGAAACAAAAACGAATAATATATGCTCCTGCTTTCTTCAACTGGAAGATATATCTTGTACTTAAGCCTTTTGAGCCAGTTGTGGAAGATGGAAAGAGAAAGAGTTGTTCATTACTCTAAATGGCATTGGATTTCAATAAACACAGTGGGCATGAATAAACATTTGTCTTTAACATTTCAATTAGAGTTGAAAAGGTGGTAAAAGAAGCAAAAAGATTATTATTTTGTATACTTAATGAAATATACCAGCAAATGATTTGTTGCTTTAGTGCTACTCAAATATCACAATTTAAGTACATGAGTTATATATTTACAAGGGTATTGATTATACATCATGGCTGATTCTTATGCTGTTAATGAGATTGACAAAATTCAGTAAATGTTCTTGAAATCGTATAGTATAACATTACATAGGCATATATCATAACACTGCACACATACCGTCATATTTTAAGTATTTTCAAGTTGTACTATATACATAAATTGTGCCATAAAAAATTGCTATGAACACATTTGTCAATGATCATTACAGGTATGTACGGTTTAGGGGAGTGTGGTAGACATTATATACTCGATTCTTTTAATTAAATTGCCTTTAGTTAGATAGAGGTGCAGATTCGAGAATATTTTACTTGGAGCTATTTTCCCGGTAGGGAAACGCTTTTCCGAGTTAGAACTAAATTCATCAATAAGTTATATTTCAAAACATGAAAATCGGTTTCCATCAGAACTTTAAGCATTATGCGTAAGTAGTGTATTACGCGAGAGCACACTGGACTATTTTCACATCATAAAAAGTTTAGGTATTTCATCCTTTTAGCCAAAGTAGGCCTGTTATTTTTGCAACTGTTTGAACAGAATAGAAAAAAACACAACACAATAATTATATCGTATCTTTAATGAAATAAGTAAAAAAAGCAACTGTAAACGGTTTCTAAAATACAATTATTTTTACAAAATGAATGATTACATATTACAGTACTGTTAATAACTTTTTGGATTTACATTTGTTAAACAAAAAATTTTGCAGAGGAAGACGAGGGTAGAAATGCTGTATTGGAAAGATTGGCAACCACTGGCATTAGAAAAAAATCATGATACATATATACATAAATAAACGGATTAACCGTTGACAATAATAAACATAGTTAAATAAAGATTAGCAGGACTGTCTGTCTTAAATTTTCTTAAACGTTTTCATTTAAACCTTGGGTTTCAGTTATAAATGACATAAGCCAAACATAAACATAAAATTGCCTTTAGTTTGTTTGCTTTTACATAACAATCAGTTTCAAAACATTATTTTACTTACGCCTTAAAAATGACATGATATATATAATTAACAACACTTAAAGTTGCATTTTATAAATTTCATAAAAGCAGAAATAGCTACAATTGTTTAATAAAATGTGTTTAATAGCTACTAGTGTTCTTATTGTTATCCAGACGACTAAAATGAGCAGTATAAGCTGAAAAGTCAGCAACCTCATTTTGGCGAAATCGAGAGTACGTTTCCTATTTACATGTGCAATCCCATGAACATCGCATATTTGACTGTAGACTGATAATGTTTTATAAGATATATCATAACCTAGTTGCAGTTAATCTCCCACGATATGTTCAAGCCCCACATAGATTAACCAGATTATGCACCCCTCACCCCTTATCCCTACGCCAAATACAGGTATCCTCCGACTTCCATAAGTACTATTTCTTCCCTCATAGCATTATACTATGGAATAAACTCCCTAGCAACAGTGGCATCCTACCCAACTGAAATCAGTTCAAACAGGCAGTGTTGGGTTTGCAGTAATAGTCTTGTTTCCAGTGTTTTTAAACCATTTTATCTCTAATCATCTTCTTTCACTATTAACATTTTAACCATGACTAGAATACATTTTCAGTCTCACCTTTCTAGCATGTTTGTAATGCTTGGACCTTTCTTTTTTTGTTTTTCTTTTCACCTTTTACAAACAACCCGACGTTGCACCTAATTCCTGCCTATAACATTGGTAAGAGGGGTTGGCAGTATAGATAGATAGATAGATAGATAGATAGATAGATAGATAGATAGATAGATAGATAGATAGATAGATAGATAGATAGATAGATAGATAGATAGATAGATAGATGGATAGATGGATGGATGGATGGATGGATGGATGGATCAACAAACGTGGCTTTAATAGTTTAAGTAGAAGTCCGAACTGCTTAGTTTTTAGACCGAAGTCAAAATATTTTTTCATATTTACAAAATGCAGCTTTAAAGTAAAATATTACATTATTTGTACAAATAAATAAAAATACATGTATGTTATTTGGCGAGAATTTTATTCGTTTTAACATTCCTATTTCTGTCAAATCCATGATAACACATTTAGATATTTTGACAAAACGTGTTTGCTCATAACAAATAAGTGTCACTTTGTTCATAAACTGTCACCAGTAAATTCTTCATTATTTAAACATTAACAAAATTGGCAATTTCCGAGAACATACAGATCCAAAAGCTCAGTGCTCAAGTTATATATGCTTGGTATCATAGCATGGCTATACAATATTAGTAGGCTCAAATCAAGATCAAATCTTATTGTGGATAAAAACAACGTTTTACATAATATTTCTTGTGATTCCTGAATAACACAATAATTATATCATAGTTTTCTAAATGACAAAGTAGATATGGCGACTGTACAATGCTTCTAAAATACAAAAGAATGATTCATGTTACTGTGTACAATTAAATAATTATACATATGTTAAACACAATACATTTTTTAGAAGAAGACGGAGATATCACGATGACAACGATTGGCATTGACGGAATCGTAATGCATATAATTGACAAACAAGCTTAATAATGAGAACAACTAACACAATTGATTACAGTTTACCAGGACTGATTTTCTAAATTTTCTGATGCATTTGGAAGTTTTAAGTTTTAAGATATAAAAATGTAGAGCCTTTGAGGATATTTAAGAATCTTTTTATAATCAATCTTCAACATAACATACAACATAGCATACATAGTAACACAAATTTTAACAGATAAATGTAGAATTCAAAAGAATATATAGACATGTATATCAAAATATGTACAATGAATTAGAATAGAGGAAAAGATTTGTAGCTAAGCTACACCTTACTTCTGAGTTTCGTGCATAGTTGCTATGTTGGTGAAATAATTAAATATGCAATATCACTATGAATATTTATAATTGATGCACTCGAAAACAGCATTTATTCCTGAAACAAAATGCACGACAAGTAGGGTCAAACATTTTCCTTTGTTTGACCTTCTGGAAAGTATGCTTAAAATTAAAGTGTCAGCTCACTATACAGATGACAAGTTAATATCTCGAAGGCTTAGTGTATTACTTAAAAAAAGAAAGAATAAAAGAACAAATGATTAAATGTATATATATAAATCAAAGCTCATGTGCAAACTGGTATTTTCCTATTAAATAACTGTTTGCAAAGCTTTGTATTCGACACCAATCGTTTGGACACTCCATGAACATGTTACAGAAGGTTAGACCTAGATGATTATAGATATCAACATTTTTGTTTGCATGTTATACAGACAATTAAGGGGTACATTGGTTATTTCTTTAGCGAAATATCATAAAAGATTAAATCCACTATGGAATGTAAGCTAGCAACACTTGGTCGGCTCAAGAAGAAATTTAAAGGGGATTTACCTTTGCTTGATCAACAGCAGCAAAACTTATAAGTGTTGTATTATCAACGAGTATGAAATGCGACTTAATCGGGGTTAATAAAGAAGTTTACAATGCAAGACTCTCTGTAATGCTTTGGATATATCTCAGAAGACAGCTTGACCTTTATCTATGGTATGAAGAAGAGTGATAGATTGAGGTCAATTGACTGATCTTCAAGTCTTTGGAGATGAAGACTTACTGGAAAGAACAGAACAAATAAGACCTTTATAAAAGTGATTATTTCTATACCAGGAAGATATATATACCTTTGCAAAAAGCTTTTACAATACCACACATCTTGATGGTCGTTAAATACACTGGACGAACGTGAGAAATTTTCCTTTGCGTTGGAACGAAACCGTTGCTTAAACAGAAAATAAAAAATAGTGCATAGAAGGACAACCATATTTTGGATAGGGCTTCGGTTTTCTTGTTTTTGCATCGAATATTATAATGGACAATGATCAATTAAAATCTGAATGCTGGTGGCATGTTGTGGCTTCTGAAATTATTTGAAGGTCCCGAGTTTACATGAATATCACCAGATTTAACAAAGAGCATTGCCAACGAGATTACTAGTTCAAATGTGGAAGGTGGAGCCAGATTTTAAAGAAATAAAAGGAGAGATCAGATACAATTTGAGGTAGGAGATAAGGAGATAATGATAAAGTGATAAATATTCATTATTGAAGAGCATAAATAATTTAAATTTACAAGAGATTTGGTATTTGTTAATAGTTGTGTAATACCAGAAGAACCAAAAACATCAGAAGACGTAGTTCTTTTAGTGTCCGCTTATAATATTTTGATGAACATAATAAAATAACATAAAATCATTATGAGCCGCGTCACGACAAAACCAACATAGTGCGTTTGCAACCAGCATGGATCCAGACCAGCCTGCGCATCCGCGCAGTCTGAACAGGATCCATGCTGTTCGCTTTCCAACCCTATTACAAGTAGAGAAACTGATAGCGAACAGCACGGATCCTGATCAGACTGCGCGGATGCGCAGGCTGGTCTGGATCCATGCTGGTCGCAAACCCATTATATTGGTTTTGTCATGACGCGGCTCTTATATTTTGATATATTAAAATTGCATGTTGAAATGAGAATTTAAATATCAAGTAGATACGTTCTACTATAATTAATTATAAGCTTTAACTGAAATCAGCATTAAATTTGACATGTACATAAAGTCTTTATCAAATAAATGTAAGTCAAATTAACACAATGTTCAGACACTTTTATGGAATCTAAATTTAGTTATTTCCTTAAACGTTTGAAACTGGAGTACTGATGAACACTCATAGTCGTATGTTCTTGGGGCACGAAGGACAAATAACGCAAAATAGGTGAAGTAGGACCATTGTGTGAGATTGTGGTTATTATGTTAAAAAATCTTAAATATTTCAGAGCATGTGAGATTATTTATTTCTTGAATAGTGAAAATCAAGTGATAGTGGTATAGATGTTATACAGTGATGATATGATTAATTTGTCTTATCTGTATTGTATTGGAGCTGATAACATCCCTAAAGTCAACAACATGCATAATACAAAGAGGCTTAGCAAAAGGTACATCAATGTCAATTATTATTTCAAAAGTAATAAATTTATATTTTCATGTGATAGCAAAATGGTTCAACTTTCAGACCAAAGTTTAGATATTTTTTCAATCTCCTAGTAAGCATTGTAATTATTACCTAGATTAAATATAACTAGAATCATATTCTAAAAAGGAATAAATAGTAAAAATGTTTGAAATGTCAATAATACAGAACGTACAGAAAAGGTTATTTTTCTCATAAATATATTATGAAGAGATTCTGCGTATCATAATAAAAATAAATAAATTTGTATGCAATTTGTGATTTAATAATGTAAAAAAAGATTCACATGAAGAATTCATATTTGCCAATTATTTAGACATAAGATTCCTTTTTCTAACAAAATATGATTCTGCGTTTTACAATATAGCCTTTATTCTAAATAAATGAAAACAATTTAAGGTAATATTTGATATTACGTTTGTGTCTGTCACATACAAAACTCTTTGGTTTCTTCAATAAATGAAAATTTAATTTCAAAATGTTAACTATAGAGAATGCATGTTTATATAAATGTTATGTACGTATTAAAATCACATATCACACGCAGTTTACATTATTTGGTTAAGTGACATAAATATGCATCCAATTCTATTACAAATAGTCATTGTTAAAGTTTTCTAAGATTAAATCTGGACATGTAATTCTTAATACTAGATATAATCTAGCCTTTAATTATTTTAGGACAGTCCTGGTAATTCTACACGAAACATATACTAAATACATAATAAAAAAAAACTAAAAATTGCATTACATGCATTGAGAAATATCTCGATATAATTCTTATTTATAATTTTCTAACATCCATGTACATATATGTATATATCATAAATCGTCTTTGTTCAAAACAATTATTCTCCATTTTGTTCAATAGCTATTCCAGTCAATCTTTCTCAATTTACGCATTAACGTATATGTTTTCTTCATCGGCTCCAAATCCTGTATTTACGTAAACAGCTAAAATAGAAATATAATACATTATAATACACATCAAAAGGTAAATATGTAGTTCTTAAACACCACGTTTACTCATGAGCCCCTTTCATTTATTCGTCCTTTGCGTAGTTCGATATGAAAGTTTTGCCGAGATTTTTAACGGTTATGACATAAGGGGACACATAAAAATTATTATACAAGAAGAAGATATAAACATATTGTTTCCAGTAAGGCTCGCGGGATTTTATTGATTTTACATGTCTAAGAGCATGCGGGATTTCAAAATACTCTGCCTGCTTATTAGCATATCACGACGTAGTTGCCCCTATGTGAACGCTGATTTTGTAAATTTACAAGTGAAATTTGTTACAATATCTTCAGCTAACATTTTTGTATTTTACGTAAGTCACCTACCATAAATACATTTAGATGCTTTAAGCAAGTTGCTGCATAACATTGTTTTTTATTGTAAAAACAAGGGTATATAAACATCATTCATCTCAAACAGATACGGACTTAAAGCTAACCTGCTTTAGAAAATTTGAAGTTGATAGGTCACATTTTAATGTACCGCATTTGTGTAGTTTTTATATGATATCTGGTGAGGACCAAGTTTCTGTGCAGAAGAAATGAATATGGCAGAACTTTTAAACTTGATAAAATCAGGGATGACACTCCAAATTGAATTTTTGTTAAACAACATGATGACCTCATTGTACTGTAGCAGAGTTATTTTTGAATTTATTCTTTCAAATGATACTGATTAACATAATATAGAGGGCGGGAACTTAGTGAACTGACACCATAAATGACCAACGTGATAGTATTAATGAGCATCTGAACTCACGCAAGCAATATCAAATGCACTCGAAGCAGAACAAAAGAAATTTTACAAAGTCCTTTAAAGATAAAAGTTATGACATTACCTTCTTCTTCTTCGTCTTCTTCTTCTTCCTCATCAGTTGTTATGAACGCTTTTAGGCACTCGTGGATGTAAATATATTGGTCCTTAAAATATAGTTAAATAATAACATTTGACTAATTAATATGATAGTTATGTTTGGTTTAAAAAAGAGACAAAAAGACGAAGATCGATTTTTACTTAAGTATAGTCTAAAGCATATGTAAATATGCTGATAAATGAAATCACATTTCCTGCAGATATAAAATCAACAAGACGGGTTATAACTTACAATTAAATTTACGAGTATTTCGCATTAAAAAATGTGTATATAATGTTTATTCTTGTCATAAAATACACATTCTTAAGCTATTAATGCGTTCCGTCTTATAATTCAAATCATTCTTCAGTATGCATGATATTTTGTATGGTTTATTTAAAGATGTATTTCTTTTAAGGGAGGGACGTCGAGACTTGTTACACTTCTTGGTAATCAAAACTATTCTTTTAAGGTGTACACTCCGCTAAACCGTGATGTTTCCTCGTACATAGAAATTTAAATACAAACGGTATCTGAACACAAAAAGGTAGAAACAAAGGTGTTTCTGAGGCACTACTTTGCTATGAACTTCCTTTTACACCAACATTTTCTTATGGTAGAGTAACCTCTTGACTACGAGCTTCCCCTGACACAATCCATTTTTATGGTCAAAGAAAATCTGCTGTTGTTTTACCACTCTGTTATTAACCATAAGTTTTATCATGCAACGGTTACAATTATTAGTAAAATGAGAGATTACTTAAATTACCTCTGTCTGCACCATGTTCAACCTATGATTTCTCATATCAAGGACAAGATTAAATATATCCACCTCGTCGTGATCTCTGATATGTTGTAACAAGTAGTCCACTGCTATAAATGTCCCAGTACGACCTACACCAGCACTGTAACATTATAGTTTGGCTTATATTTAAGTAAGTCTTGACGTTTATGCATAAAATTGATATGTAATGAATTCACTATCATATTACTTCGTTATAAAAATGTATTAAAGAAGGATTTCTAAAATATGTAGTATGCCATGTTAACAAATAAATATATTGGCCCACTAACATTGTAGTTGCCTTTCAAAAATTTAAGAGTACCGATTCAAAGATTAATTTTGTACCTTTATCAAAAGGGAGTTTTTTTGTGTTTAAGTGAATATATAGCACCCTTGAATTCGTGTGTTAAAAGACAAAATAAAATATGATCCAACACATATTTGATATGTTAATTCTTTACTGGCGGTGCATTCAATAGTTTGTTGGTATATAAGCTACAACGTTTAAATGCTGCGTTGTTTGTGAACATCTCACATGAACTATAACATTATTCACTTTATAATATATCACGTTTACATACATGTTTAATAACGTATTTATGAAGTGTTACTAAAATAGGTGGATGACGTGCAGTAAACAAATAATAAACACATGCTTTATGAAATGAGTATCGATAATAAATATGATTTAAAATTAATATTATTTTTATACTATCAAACGTTTGGTTGTTGTTTTTTTTTCGCATGCTTTGAACAAACTACTATAGCTATGGTAAATGCATAAATCATAATAATAATAAGGGAAAATGCATTGTCTTCATCATAACATAAGGTAAGCAGTTAATGAAAACACCGCTTGAAAAAAGGGACAATTAAATATATAATCTATGCTTCATGATTCAAATAATGAAATGTTAGTTTAACACGAAACGACGAACTATATTCTTACATTACTATATATTTAGATTTAAGAACATGATAAAAACTTGGATTAGAATTAAAAGAAATTCAAATATAAGTTTCATTCATGCTGATTACAAAAAAAAATAGTTCAATTAGTTTATTAATTCGATGTGTTTGTCAGTCTCCTTTTTTTGATAATCACCTTATATTAAATAATTATACAAACGAGTTTCTAGACTTTGCTTTATTTACATTGCTATATTTACATATCAAGAATTACCTGCAATGGACAATCGTTGGTCCAGTCGAGGATTTATTTTTTTCCTGATTACTATACTGTTTAACAGCTTTTACGAACTCTAGCAATAATTCCGGCGTTTCAGGACAACCCATATCTGGCCACTTCAAGTAACTAAAGTGACGAACCATTTTCCGTTCCTCTTTCTTAAAAACAAGATGCGATCGAATAAAAAATTGCATGCATACGATTATTAGTTTAAAAAGACTGTGATTTTGTTTTAATAAAATTCAATGCTTTTTTTTCCAAGTGCAATACATGCAATCAATATGTTTGTTTTGACAATGTTTGACAGGATACGAGGCTAGGTTTTAGGTTCCATGCTAATTGTTCGCCTGCGAGGTTAATGTTTATTCGGTCTATTGGATAATGCTAAACTACTCTTTATCACAATTTTCATGCATCAGAAGTCTGGCTCTACATTACAGCATGCAGTGTACCTGCAGTGAACCAATAATGGTCCTTTTGGAAATGGGGGCCTGTATTGCCGAACCATTGATATGAAGTTGATAAGTGGCCAATGTTTATCCGGGCAACCGAAATCAGGCCATTGAAGAAAATGGAAATGTTTTATTTTTTTCTGCTTTATTCCCTATTTAAAAAAGACACCGCGTATATTAACTTTTACACATTTGCTTTATGCTTTTAAAAGTAAAATGGCTCATTACCACGTTTAAAGGCAATAAAATGAGCTACATTAAGAATATCTTCTATCCAAAAAAGTTTAAAATAATATACGAAGGTTGTTCAAATCAAGAACGACATCCTGCTTAAAGTCGCGAAATTAAGATTAATATAATAATAGAATGTTGTCTGTTCCTATCTTGTAATGTGTTTGAGTTTTATTTCAAAACTGTTTATGTATTAAACACGTATGAATACGCTTCAAGGGTTGGAACAGATGACTGAAACTTCTGTTGAGTGTGAATAATCAAATACATTTATCAATGCAATCTGCCAAGGATACATTGAATGTTGCTAAAATGCATTGATATGTGAACATTCCTTGGTTATATCTTGATGTCTTGATATGCAATATGGAATTACATTATGTGTTGACACTTATCATATCCACGATTACAATGAGAAAGATACGCAAAAAAGTAATGAAATTAAAAGTTTGAAAGTAAAGAAATAATAAAATAATAACCGCTCTTCATATTGACCTGATCGTTGCTTATCAATCAAGCATTGTTTAATCTAGGCTTTGAAATTAAATGTGAAAAAGTTTTGGTATATATGAAAATAGAACGAAACCTTTAATTAAAAGTGTATAAGCATAATCTACTTACCATCTTTATTTCAAATATCTTTATAGTATAGTCAGACAGGTTCGATTCTGATTGAAGTGAAACAACCAAATCTCCGTAGAAAACAGGTTCCCCAAGATCCGGCCAATACTTATCACATTTATGCTGAAATCATTATTGTTTATATTTGAAATACACTTAAAAATTACCAAAAGATCATTAATATCATATCATCTACATGATCAAATGTTTGAAATGTTTTCACAAGTTCCTAAGGTTAAAAATTATCAAAATATCATTAATATCATATCATCTACATGATCAAATGTTTGAAATGTTTTCACAAGTTCCTAAGGTATATAAAGAAGATTATATGAATTTGGGACATCACATCAATTTCATATGTAAAAGAAAATATACCCGTCCTTTTTCCATTAGTTTTGTCAACATGACGATAGTATCAACGTTTTGCTCCCAAACCATTCTCCAGAAGTCATCGAAAGTAGCTTGCATAGGACCCTGAGTAGCTATATATTCTCTGCGAGAGGTATATCCCTAAAAACAAATATAGAAATATGAAATAAAACGTAAACGTTAAATGATAAGCTTATAGTACAATCATATTGCTTGAAATAATTTTTTTGTTTATTAAAAAGAAAATGAGATTCAAGGTTCTTACATAGATTCAAATAAAATATTTGTTATCTTGTTTGTGAAATACATACAGGGATATAGTTGGCATTGATGTAGTCCGACCCTTCAATATCATCGGATGGCCGGAGTTTAACTCGAGAGTGATCAACTGAAATTAAAATTGACATTGTGTACATCGGGATTTTCCCTGAAACTCATTTGATGCAACACAGCTGATTTAACCTTAGCTAAAATTAATTTAATACAATTCCGAAAAGAAATTTGTTTCTTGTTGCAACTTAACTTCCGACTACATTTAAGTCCACGCAATAGTGGAAGTCCTTACCCATCTTAAAATGAATGATTACAAAAGAAATGTATAGTAATACAAGCCATTTTAAAGATAGACGATAGCCTTGGTGTATAAAGAACGGATGGAAAACCACTTACACATATATTTCTGGTAAAGCCAGGAGAAATACACAGAACAATCATTCAAGTATATACTCAATAAAATCCCAAAATTATGAACAACATATGATATTAGAAAATTACTTTATATACGGTTCTTTAGTTGTGATATTATATGTTTTGAAACGAAAGAATTTAAAACAATTTTCCTTCATTATTGAAGTAATATTTCCTTAAACTCAATCAATTTTCGAAATAATACGTACATGGCAGAATATTTGTATATCTGTTTTTTGGTCGACAACACTGTTGTTCTGCTGCCGTCATCGGATTATTTGGGCTCTTATCTTTAATCAGCTACAAAAAATAGTACAATTCATCCTTTAGTATATAACTCACAGAAAATTGATGACATCTTAAAGACAGTGTAAAAAAGTCAATCTGCGAAAAAATACAAACATTCGTAAAATCATAAATATGTGTTTCCTACATATTATAATATCTTCTGGTACTGTATATGTAAATAAAGTATGCTACGAATCGTGAAGGGCCAATGATGAACGTATAAAAAACAAGAAGTTAAAGTATACATGCTTTTGCAATCCAAATAGATGCGATCATGAATCCATGTTTATAAACAATTGTCGTTTAAGTGCGATATTCCTGAGGGTGTTATTCAAATTTACCTTGTAAGCGTCTGCAAAAATTAAATCGGAATCTTTATGGAATTTTTCAACGGCATCAGGAAAGTCGGTGAGCTTGATTGGTCCTTGCCTAAAAAGTTGAAGAAGTCATGGAAGATACATAATACTTTTAAGATAAAAAAACTCAGAAAGATCCTAAATAAAACTTTTACACATTAATCAAAGAAACTATATATAGTTAAACTAATACTAGGAAATTATTCGGACAGTAACACCTTTGGAAAACATAACATGTCGTATTTACTAAACTTTTATTGTATATACAAAAAAAATGATAATGTTTCTAACTGAAAATATCAAAACTATTAGAAGAGTTGATTAATCTAAAATAAAACAGGAAAAAATGTTCAATGCTACGTTTCAGATGGAAAAGAATCAGAATGGGAAAAACATAAGATCTTGTCTGTTATTCACACGTGCATTTTACAGTAAAGTGTACTTAGGTAAAAGCCAGCTGAGCTATATATTATATTGACATAATATATCAGGTCTCGGGTTGAATATATCTATGTTTTAATTTGTTTATTAAGCTGAAAAGTTTAGAGTGAAATTAGAAATATCTTCCGGGAAATATTCTCTATAACGGTGGAATTGAGCATCATGTTGATATAGGAATTATCTTCTCTTTAATCAAAACTCATTTAAGGTATTTTGGAGTTATACATTAAAGTAGTCATTGAGATATAACAAAACTATCTTCTTTTTATTGTTTTCACAGGATCAATTTGAAGATATTGTACATTATTTCACACCGTATAAACTATAACCAATGACCTGTCAGGAATTTATTACACTTTATTTCCAAACAAAAATGAAAACAGGTATAGATTGATATTGTAACTGGAGCAAACTATTGTTGGGTTTTGTATTTCAAAAAGCTTGTTTTTTCATTTAGAATTAAGGAAGTGCTGCATTTTGAAGGTACGTGCACCAAACTTTAAAAGTGTTTTTATATGTGTACGTACCCTGGGTGACTGAAAAAGTCAATAAAAGAATTAATAATCATAAGAAATAAATAAAAAATAAAACATTTCAAACAATATTTCTTCGATAATCCTTTTGCAATAAAAATTATGTGTATGCAGAATGTATAGGCTTCCAAACAAATACTGACTACAAAATGCAAAGGACATAATGCATAATCTACTACAACTTTTATATTAAACAATGACTATAAACGTTTCTATAATTTAACGATTATAATCAATTTCAACCAATACAAATGTTTTTGTTGTTTTTTTTAGCATGAAATAATATTGCATTCAGTCTTTTGAAATATAAAGACAAAAGTGACATATATTCAAGGGAAAATCAGCAATTACTGCATACAATCAATGAAACCAAAGAAAAAGAAAGGAAACCACATTCTCATGCACCACATGGTCTGTATAATCTACATATTCAGTATTTGCTCTGTTTAGTCTCTTTCAATAGCTCTAACGGTCCTGTTAAATATTTCGGCTTTAAAGTTTTTTAACCATGAGGGTAAAAACAAATGCTATAATATCTTAAGTTCATATCGATACCATATTTTAGAAATATTATAGCCGTGAATAAATTCCAATATTGCAATGCTATAGCATGGTAAAGACAAAGAAACACATCGCAATAAATAAGAACATTTCAGTATTTTTATATTTATTTAAGGAGGCAACACAGAAAACAAATTTTATTATCCACAGCAAAGAATACATTACAAAAAAGATAAAAATTGACATGTGCTTGTATTATATTCATGCCTTTGGGCTGCCAATGTGCTTCACCTAGAATATTTATTCATTCTTTTTATAATTTTAAATTAGCCAGTATATCTAAAATACAATCAATTTAAAGAGAAATGGATTTAGTAGCGCATTGAAGTATAGAACTGTTATGGCGTACGAAGGATTTAGAAAATAAAGACTTAAAACCACTTGTCACTCACCGATGTTGGTTAGAGTCCCGCCAAGGGTTTTATATTCTTTTATATGAGGAAACTAACCAGCTAGCTTACGGAACGTTGTTGCTTACTCAGGTGCACGTTCGTGTATGAAATAATGCAAGGAAAGGAACCTGAGGTCTTCTTCCACCAGTAAATCCGACAATTTGCCATATGCCATATACTTAAAAAATTTCTTTTTAAAGTAAACAAGAATCAAACTGAAAGTTTCATTTTAAGTTTGCCATTTCCCATATTTATTTATCAAATTCTAACGTACAATATCAATTAAGAGTTACCTAAAATGGTTCTTCTTAGTATGTTCTATTTTGTCGAGATGTATTCCTTCACCTGGCATATGTGTATGAAGACTTTCGTCGTCTTTTGCGAAGCACCTTTAACCAAATGTAAATGCATGTCGTTTCATTAAATATTTTATTGATACTTACATGTATATTCAAATTTTAAATGAAGATGTTTTGTGCAATTTCATAAAACGATTAATTAAATTCAATATTATATAACTGAATGATCTTTAAACACTGCTTCAATGTCATGTTTAAATTATTATTCTTTATCTATTATATAATAGCCCTAATATTATCAAATGTAACTTAATTATGCTTACATCATCTGTTTTCTTCTTAAGACGAAAACGACAACAAAAACAATAGCTATCACTAGTAATGCCGATGATACTCCAGCTACTATAGGAATTGTAAGGTCTGGATCTAATTTTTAAAAAGGAATTAATTAGAATTAAGAAAATATCATATACCGATATAATTTCTTATCAAAAATAGTAAAGTCAGTTAAACTTATATCGTTTCATTCAACATAAAATGTTTGAATCACAGTTTCGATTTCCTTTCTATTTATGAAATATTCTACGACTGAATATATAATAAAAAGACTAACAACCATGCAGACGTACATCAATATATACTGGTACAGAAAGTAATGAAAGAACTTTTGTTGACACATTTAAGAATATTATATCTTGCGGATCTTTAAATAATTGCTTTAAAGACGTTTCCTGTTGTTACACACACTACTAAATTTTCACAAAGACATAAAAAACAACAACAAAAAACAGACAAAAAATATTAATTGGTGCCTAAAATTTTCTAAACATCTGCATTGTCTAAGAAAATCATTGAAATAATGATTCTTTTCTAGTATGTAAAAAAGTATTACAAGTATGATAAAACTATTAAATGAAACATGTTTTTTCCCCAACTACTTACAGAACAAGGACATTTGTCTAATTTGTGTCATCTATCAAATTTCAATAACTATCCCTTGGTTGCTCAGAAATAAATTATTAGAATACATATCCGCAGACTTGCGTGCTCTACTTGTCACAATGCTCTGGATAGTTCAACAGGAGGGCCTGATCATCAAGGCTCTTAATGACAAGGATCAATTAATACTGTTAACTAGGAATGAAAAGGATAATTATAATGTCTTAAACTTAAACTGATATCACAACGTTTGTATCTGAATAATTAATTGTAAATGTAAACAATGTTGTTTCATATTTGGGCTGTAACACCTAGGTTTTGACCCCAGACCAGATAACCCATTTTCCAACTTGAGCTAGAAATAATAATTATAAACAACATTGTCGGCAAATGTCCAGAATATTTTGACTGAAAATGAAAATCTCTGGAGTGTTAAAACGGGTTTTCTTTATCTGTGCTATGTGACCTAGTTTTGGACCACAGATAAGCCATGTTCCACTTGAGATAGGAATTATCAAAATAATTCATCTGACACGTTTCTAGGATATTTGGGCTGAAAAGATTTCACTTATAGTGGTAAATAAATTTTTCTGATAATTTCTATGATAATTGGGCTGAAAAGATTTCACTTTATGGTGGTAAATAAAGTTTTCTGATAATTTCTAGGATAATTTGGCTGAAAAGATTTCACTTTATAGTGGTAAATAATTTTTTCTGATAATTTCTAGAATAATTGGGCTGAAAAAATTACATCTGGTGTGTTAAATAGTTCTCCATAATTTGGGATGTGTGACCTAGTTTTTAACGCAAGAAAACCCATATTCGAATTTACATTGAAATAATCGCATCAACCCAAGCTAAACTATAGACTATCTTAAGAAATCATTAAATATCCTTATTGAAAACCCCCTCCATGATAATTGTGCTAACAATGTTAATTTTGGAGTGTAAAAAAGAAAGGTTTTTCCATATTTGAAATGTGTTACCTACTTTTGACCCCAGAAGACTCATGTTCAAACTTAAGCAAGAAATCATTAAAACAACCTTTCTGATAAAATTTCAGGATAAGTTACATCTAGAGTGTTAAGAGTTTTTTTTCAATATTTAGGCTATGCTACCTAGGTTTTATCCAAGATGACCTATATCACGCCCGTTTAACTCACAACGAGTGTAAAATGTCCATCGGTAAAAATGTTGTGAGCAACTTCCGTTCCTCGTTGTGAGCACCCATCTATGACGAGTGACACGATAAACAAGGTGAGTTTTTCATAATTTTTGAAGATTACAGACATTTATGTAAAAATATCGGAATGCAGTTAGCTAGCGATGTGTTTTCCGAGTATGCACATGTAAAGATATTGTCTATTGGTGGACAATTTGATGGAAATACCGTGCGACGCAGTCACTCGGGGTAGCTGAAAAACTGGAGAGAACTTCTCTCCGGACCAAACTTAACATTGAAAACGTCGATTCTGGTGAAGTTTTGTGCATTCTAACTTAAAACAGATGCCCACAAGTCTTCAGCGTAAATTATTATCTGAAAGTCTTCATAGAAACGAAGATATACCCTTTTTTGCTTTAATTCTCGTTGTGAGCACCATAACCTCGTTGTGAGCAAGACAAGCGCAGTGCGTGTCTGGTTTTAATATGTAATTCAAATGGCGAGAATACAATTTTCAATCTACCAAAGGAATTAAAACGTTTTTGCACAGCAGCATTTTTTGCAAGACGTTGTGCATACCCCGAATTAGTTTTGAACTGTCCGTCCGTCAGTCCGTCAATCCGTCCGAAAACTTTAACATTGGCCATAACTTCCTTATTGGTAAACGGATTTGATTCATATTTGAACACAACATCCCTTAGCACAAGACCTTCCTACGGACCTGTAAATTGTTACCTTGACACCTGAATGGCCTTTACCTTGAAGGTCAAATTGTCCAAAAAAATTTAAGATTGGCCATAATGTCCTTATTAGTAAATCAATTTAATTCATATTTAGGCACAACACCTTTTTGGACAAGGCCTTCCAACTGACCTATATTCTTTTGACCTTGACCCGTGAATGACCTTTACCTTTTACCGATGGACATTTTACACTCGTTGTGAGTTAAACGGGCGTGTATATTAAAAATTGAACCTTTCCGACCGATTTTCAGTACATTTGTTCCGAAATAGAAGCCGTTAAAGTTTTTTTTTCATATTTGTGTGACCAAGTTTTTGTCTCCAGGTGACTTATATACGAACTTAAACTAGAAGTAATTAAAACATCTTTCTGACAAATGTCCAGGATGGTTGATCCGAATCAGTAGCCACTACAGTGTTAACGCGAATTTCAATTTTTGGCTCCTGTGACCTAGTCTTTCATTGGAAAAGATTAAAAAAGTGAAAACGGAACACCCTAAAGAACCAAAAACGACAAAATTAATTTTATTACAGGCTAGGTTTGACTGAGTCTGTTCATGGATGGAAACCCTGAGTCAGCTAATCTGAGCTTAAAAACAACATAGATAAGGGTGCCATATTATAGTCAACAAATATTCAACGTGAAAAATTGTCATGGCTTTTGAGAAAAATGCAAATATCCGCATTAAAAAGGTATTATCAAGCAAAAAAGTATGTCAGGATTATCTGCCTCTTAGAAATCCATTTCAACTTTGATAGTCAACAAATACACCATGTTTTCAGTGAATATATTTGATATTGTTTGAGAAATTAACCGGAACAAAATGTCAACCGAAAAAAAAAAAAAAAATTCTTAGCACTGTTAGAGGTCTACCAGGGAATGCTAAATGCCGCAAATAAAAGCACAGGGAATGCTAAATGCCACAAATAAAAGCAAAGTATTTTATCCATCAAAAGATAAGGTGTGTTTTCCTAAACCTTAGTCTACAAAAGGCAAGTGAATTCTGGGGCAGACCAATTTTGACCTGTGGGTCATTAATAATATTTCTGTTGTAAAAATATACAAATTGATAATACATGCCAAAAATCCAAGAGCTGGGCTTTGTAGTTTTATACTTTAAGACTTAAATGCGTTTTCTTTTACAAGTTTATATAAATAAAGCGACCCGGGACAGGTCAATAATGACCCAAGATACATTATTTATATCAGTTCTGCAGGTCTTTACAAGGTAATACTACATGATAATATCTTAGCTCTTAACATTGAAGTTTCACAAAAAAAGACTTACATGTGTTTTCTCATACTAAGTGGCCAAAGGGGCGGGAACAATATTAACCCGAGGAGCATGATTAACGCCGGTTTTGTACAGACTTAGTATATCTTAGCTCTTAGTAAGGTAGTTTTACAAATAAGACTGAAATGTGTTTCCTATACAAAACTTTATAAAATAAGTGATCGGCGGGGCAGGGCCAACATTGACCCAAGGGACATTATTAGTACAAGTTAGTTTGCAGTCCAGAAAGTGATGTAACATGCCAAATATCTAAGCTCTGGACATTGTAGTTTCACACAATAAGTCTCAGATATGTTTTCCTTATACAAATTATGTAAATCAAGTGACTTTTGGGGCGGGGCTAATGTTAAACCAATAGGCATGATTAATAATAATTTTGTAAAGGTTAATAAGACAATTTCAATTTCATATTCTAAATATCTGAGCTCTAAACATTAATGTTTCACACAATGAAACAATGTAAGTCTATATAAATCAAGGTATCTACATGGGAAGGGCCCATTTTGAACTCAGGAAGCCCAAACCTTTATTCTATACATCGTCTAATTATCAGTTCCCAAGATACAGAGCAAACACGAAAATTTAAAATTGATACAAAATGACTAAATGTGACCTTAATTGTTTACCTGAAGAAAGTCAAATCTGCGCTCCGCATATCGTCTAATTATGATTAACATTTCTAACTAGAAGTTTCAATTTCCTTCCACTGGTTCAAAAGATACAGAATGGACACGAAACTTGCTAATGATTAGGTGCATAACATTAAACGCCGAAATGTCAGGCGTATATAATGGGGCAAAAAAGCAATTATAAATTTACCTGTCCTTTAGAAAACAATCCATGTTTAGAATTTATCAAATTTTCTAAGGTTAAAGCGATTAAATTTGAGTGTTTGAAAATGTACGGTAAAGTTAAAAAACTAAAATAAAAGCATAATTTTGTAAAACTCGTCCTATGATTATCTGTTCTTTTGAGATACTGGTGCTATATTTTGTTATTGAACATAAATTCTTATTGAATAACTTTAGTTGTGTTGGAGAAAATGGACCTAAATAAAATATTAACCTGACAAATCTAGAAATGTGTTGAAACGTCACGAATGCCCCCGAATGCAGCCAAGATATAAAATGTTATAATATTATTTTTGCACAAACCATCTTTTCATTTCAAGTTCAAAGACCTTAAACTATTCAATGTTGACACAAACCATTTTTTATACAAAGTTCAAGGCCCTGAAACTATTCAGTGTTAACCTTTTGGAAATTACATTTTGCATATTTGATGCCGAGATAATGATATATTTTATTTGAAATGAATGTGTTCAACTGTTGGAGAGATAATGAACGGAAACTGAAAATTTCTTCAAGGGGCATATTTCTGTCAAATCTCATCAAACCATAATCAAATTCGAACTTGGCCTGGATTTTTCTATGATATATCCATATGTCAAATTTGATTTGAATGTGTGCAATTATTTCTAAGATAAAAACGGAAACTGATGACTACGGAATGGCAGAATGACGGAACAGAGTAACACTATACACCCGGCTATTTGGCGGGCATGAAAACTAACTTGAAAATGGACATTAATTTTAGGAGAATATGTCCTTTAAATGGGGCTTCCTTGTAAGACAATAAATTTCTATACTAGTAAAAAGCCTTTTCTAGATTCTGAGAAAATGAACCTTAACAATAATATTAACAAATACCGACGACAACGCCGATGCCGGCGTATTCACCGCAAGCACTATATTAAAGGTGACCTACCATAAAAATTGGTCTATATTGACAGTTTTGTTAAATTGCTAAAATATCATATTTCAGTCAACACAAAATTATGTCAATTTTAAAGATTTTAAGAGATAAAAGAATAGAAATGAATAAATAGGTAGATAAAAAATATAGATAACGGGTTAACATGCAATTTGGAAATATCTACAACCTTTTATAGTTTACAACTAATATTCAATTATTATATGGTTTTTTGAGCTATGATTTACACATAAAAACTTAATAAATAGTAATAGTAAAATCATTACTTAATTGGAGTAATATTTATAAAACGGTTCGGTTCACAGCAGTGTGATTTTGTTACCGTGATTTGTATTATATGTCCGTTATTCCTTATGTCAATAAAAAGAAGTATCAAATTATAATTGAGATCTGATTTAGTATGTTAGTTTAAGATTTAAATGGTCCATCTAACACCATACCATCAGATTAAAAAAAAAATATTTAGAATTAAAATCAGAAATTATTTAGATGAACCACATATAATTACCTATTATCCTAGGCAACTAAAATTAACGAAATTTGCAATGACACAATCAATGTAGAAAACTGAGAGTGCCTTGGATGATTCCATAAATTTCTTGGACGATTCCCTGCTTTTCTTAAATAATATATACAGGTAAAAGCTTTGTTTTGCGCGTTTATGCGTAAACTTTTCATCATTACTATATTGAAACACGATTTCGTTTATCAAAAATGTGTGACCTGATCACTGTAAAAATATATCTCATGAATTACGTTAAGTGATAAAAAAACAAATAAACTAAAAATAATTATACAGGACAGAAAAATATGAGCAATCTTTCAAAGTTTAAAGGTTCTGACATTTATTCAGCGAAATCAACGTTTATATGAAATATCAACGTCATTTTTCATGTGACTGACACAATCACCAAATTAGTAGTAGCGTAAAATCCTTTCATTAGAATTAGAGCAAAATATTTTATTGCCATATTAACTTAATTAATATGATATATATTAGATATTTAAAGAAAAGGTGAACATAGCAACATGCACGCGTATGATATAAATCACCTGCTGTATTTTGGTGTGCTGCAAAAGAAGTACAAATATCATCTCAACTATGCCAAAAAAGCAAACATCAAGTAGACTATCAGACAAAACTGATGTGCAGAAGTAACGTATGTGTTTACTTACTAATTGGTTTTAAAGATAACATATGTTCATCTACTTAAACGACACAAAAGCTGTTCTTTAAACTTGAACATTGCTATAAACAAAAATGTCAATAACTGTAAAGTTATGTATGAAAAAGGCATTTTCAAATGACTTTTTTCTTCACATAGAGAAGAAAAATGAAAAATCAAGTACTAGTGATATTAAAATCGGCTTTGATCATTATTTAAATTACTGTAAATGTTTTCGAAATGTAGCATTATTTAATTTTACTAACCTGTAGTTAACGGTTGAGAATATTCTGTTTCAGTACATCCACCGCTTGTACAAACAAATGATTTCACCCTAGTTCAGAAAAAAAGTAGAAATATAAAATGTGCTCATTTAAATTAATGAAACGTGGGTATTGTCATATAAAGTCTAATCAAACACAAATAAAGAAACAGCTTATAAGAGATGTATATTGTTAACAAAAAGACAATAGTTTTTCTGAAAATAATTCAACCTGTAACTTCGCCCAGGTTGCAATTCGCCGTTACAATATTTCTCTCCTTTTTCGTCCTGACATTCGCCATCTACTCCAACATAAAATGTGTAATGTTCTGGTTCGTTTGAGTTTGCTATTGCCCGCTTTTTCCTCTGGTCTGTAATGAAAAAGTCGCTGTTATAAATATGTAGATATTAACAAAACACAAAATGAATTCAAAACTTATTTATCTTTGAATCTATGAACTAATATTTCTATCTTATTCTTAAAACTTACTTGTAATAACATTATGATTAAAAGAAAATAAGAAAACATTGAAATTAAAAGTAATCATTTTATTTTTATGTTGAATCATACAATGTAAAATATTCAAATAAAGCTTTTATAACCTATACCTTTCACACATGGACCTTTCCAGTCTGTAGGTGTAGCTATGTAAGGTGATATGGAATCTTTATCTTTGACTTCAAACCAACTTTTATAATGCGTTGAGATTTTGTTTTCAAATTCCGTAGTATTACCCGTAAAGGGTGTATCTAAAATGATAAAAAGATTGGAAGACAAGTTGCTATGAAATTTCGGTGTGGCTCAGTATTTTCTGGTACAACGCATAATTTAGTCGCAAAAGTTCTAATGATTCCTGAATACATTTAGTTTATAAACTTTCTTCATTTTCTTGCATTTTTAATAAACTGCTCTGTGCTATTCCTATTCTGTAATACCCCTACGTGAAAACAACGTAACAAAAGATACCTTTACATTAAATCGTTAAATATTATAAAAACAATGTTGGACTATTTTGCCAAACAAAAAATCGTGAAATGTACCCTTGCACTTACAGTTAGCAAGAAATGTCTCGCGATCAGTTCACCATATCAACGCATCAATGAACACTTCTGATCATTTTTTCCTTTAAATCAATAGCATATATCCAAAAAATGAACTATTGTTGATGTACTCTCTTTGAAGGCAGAACATAAAAGTTAAGAAATGTGATCCTTGGCGAATTTTGAGTAGTATATATTTTAGTAGTATATATTTTTCAAATGCCCTACAATTTTTAGATTAAAATCCCTAAAAATATATACCATTTATAAATGAACAATGAAATGGTAAAATGATATATAGAAACTGGAGCTAATGAAGTTTATCGAAGCATTTTGGTGACTAAGCCCACCTGTTGCCTCGTCATCCTGGGCAACAATTACACCCCATCGTTTAGGATCACCGTTTCGTTTATTACAAAGAAGGTTCTTTAGGGATAGGTCCACCGCTATTTGTCTTTCTTTGTCCTTCGGTTGTTTTTTGCTAGGCTTTATCACTAAATCATCTACTGTCTCATTCAATTTGATAGGAGCTACAAACATATCGAATGTGATTCTTTACAAACAGTAATTACATGTATTTCATAAGTAATAGGATTTTTAAGATGCTTCAACAAACACCTTATTTGAAATCAACTGAAAAATAAATTGAATATATTAAAAAAAACATGTGAAAATACAATTAGCAATTATTATAACATTAGGGACACTGGGACAGTAATACACATTTTGAAATGAATTTCAATTTTATGTGAAATACATTGGAAAATGGAAGTTACAAATTATTCTAGCATTAATGAAAATTATGTTAATTGCAATTGATAATTGAAAAGTTTTTTTTTCTTTGATATGTTTTGCTTTTTTCAAAAATAAACGATAATATTTGAAGATTAAATCAGTTGAATCAATAATTCATATCTTACCTCCAGGATTTACAGTTTCCGTTTGAATCACCCGACTTCCGTTACCCACTTCGGTAGCGGCAAATACCTAAGAAATTTTTGCAATTCATCGTTATGTAAAACAACACTGATTTTAATTAATTATAAATGTGTGCACTATGAAAATTACTTTTAAGATAAAATTCTAGCATCATAAATGTCAATTTCATTTGGAATGACATAGTATTGAATACCAAACGGCTCATGTTTTAATATATTAACAAATATATCTTTTCAAAGTACATGTAACTCTGTATTAAATGATACTAAGCATGGAACTGATTCGTCTTAGTGATGTCTCTACCTTAACTATCTTACCTCTATTCTGTAGTTTCCTGGCTGAATATCTTTTATAATGTATGAAAAAGAATTAGTGTCCGTTCTTTCGCTAACTGGGTGTTCACTCTAAAATTTCAGTGAAGTAGATTATAGTAGACTTTGCTCAATTTTTATATTATAAGATATGATATGAATATATATTATATAAATAGAACTATAACAAAATGAAACAATCAGAATAAATGTTACTTTGTTAACTTTCAAAATCAATCTGTCCATTTAAATATTTGATTAAAGATAGATATAAAAAACAAGAGTCTTCTTGAAGATAAATATAAAGATAAAACTTACATCTAAATTCGTATACTGTATAAAGTAGTCAGTAAGTTTTCCATTAAGATCTATTTCTTTAGGCGCTTTCCATAATACTGTCAACGTTCTTGGTTTAGTAACTTCTTTCTCAGATATTATATTCATTTCAGAAACTTTTCCAGGAGCTGAGGGAAAAAGCATGTCATAATATGCATTTCAAACATATTAATTGATAGTTATTTATACCTAAATCATAAATATTTTTGTAGTCAATTTCGAAAGAAATATGATTTTTGTGAGAATCAGATTCAGGTGTACAAAATTCTCGTTAAGGTATTTAATTATTAATTTAACACTGCTGTTAACAGATATGATTCTTAAAAGTTATTATCTAATAAACTATAACACAAAATGTTATACTGAGGAAACACGGTTCAAATATATATTTAAAAGTAAAAGTATGAGAAGATTAAATCTACATCAATTTGTTTTCTGTTTCATTTCAGTAAGATTCTAGAGACAATTGCATGGATGTGTCATCACTCAATACGGTAACAGTGTCAGCAAAAACTAATAACGGAGGGAACAGATTCTGACATAAATAAACTTTTTAATTTTAGAGAATGATGATGAGCATACATGCAATATATAGAAATATTCAAGATTTATACTCACTGGATTCCTGTGTTCTGATTGTTTTTGAAACTGATGCAAGCTTTTCATTCCCTGATGAAGCATACACTGTTATATTGTATTCCCAGTATGCCTCATCTACCCTTATTTTTGTAGAATTGATGATCTCATCTTAAAATGTAAATTTATAAATCTATTTGAATATATAAGGCCACATAAGTCCTAGCTTCTCGGATCCATCTCTTATTACACTCAGGGCACAACCTATGTTCAACCTTTCTGGTTTTGACTTACACGAAATAATACAATGTATCAAGCCCCAGTTAAAACTTCTATGTACGAGGTATGACCAAAAAGTTCTCGGCCCGATATACTTTTAGCCACTGAACCTGATTTTTTACCGGATCGTAACACGGGATGAAACATGGGTCCATCAATTCGATCAATTATCCAAAAAACAAAGCATGGAGTGGAAGCACCCTTGCTCACCCCCTCCGAAGAAATTCAAGAGAGCACCATCAGCAGGGAAGATGATGGCTTCAATTTTTTGGGATAGTCAGGGGATAATCATGATTGACTATCTTGAGCAAGGTCGTTCCATAAACGGTACGTACTATGCAGACGAATTGAGACGTCTGCGTCAAGAAATCGCGCATAAAAAGAGGGGAAACTGACTCAAGGCGTTCTGCTCCTGCACGACAATGCGCCAGCTCACACATCCCAAGTTGCGATGGCTGCTGCAATTGACTGCGGCTTTAAAATTCTTCCCCATCCCCCATATTTTCCAGACTTGGGCCCCTCTGACCTGTTTCGAACCAAAAAATCAAGTTTCGTGGTAGACGTTTTGGGAGCAATGAAGGCGGTCAATGACTTCTTTGCGGAACAAAATAGAGAGTTCTATTTTGAAGGGTTAAACAAGTCGGAGCACAGGTGGGCCGAGTGCATTGATGTAGAGGGCGAAAGGTAAGCCCATTAGTTAGGTTTTTTGACTACCGGAAATACATCGGGCCAAGAACATATGATCGATCCTCGTAATGTGCCTTTATGATGTTTCTCATTTCATAGTCTTTAATCTATTCATGTTTTGGTATGCTAAAGCCGATGTTAGAGGACCTGGATGGTAGCTTGCATTTATCATAATTGTTCAAGTACACGCTCAACTAAAAGAAAATTGAAATATGTTCAATTTTGTCGTGCTAGGCGGCGACCTTTATGATTTAAGTTTCATTCTTGATTAAAAAATATGCATGTAAAGTCCCGTTATAATGTACATTATATAATATATCAATATATTAAGCTTTAAATGGGAAAAAATATTTAACCGTAACAAATAGCACTTGGAGACGGACCATTTGGACATTGCTGTCGTGATTTGAACAAAGACTAACACATTAACACCAAACCACTTGGTTTCAGATAAGATGAGATTTTAAATATGAACACACGTTAAATTAGATATAACTTGAAAAAGACCAATTTTGACCATGTTGTTACAATTTAAATGTTACAGAAAAACGACACTGTTTTGCAATTGAAAGGTCAGAAATGTTTTAAGGTTTTTACCCGACAGTCTCAATTATTATGAAACTTTAAAAAATAACATTTTATATAAATATGTGAGACAGACCATTGATACAATTTTAAAATACTCAAATGACAAACAACATACATACTAGTATATTATGCAATATTTGCATAGAAGGTACAATATAAGGTAGAAAATGTTATGAGTATAAATCGTTTTCATTGATGCAACCGATTATTTAATTGAGACAAACTTTGCATCTTTTGTTTTTCATTCAAGGCAATCTAAAGCTAAATATTGTTCTTAACTGTATATCTCTGCAAAAGGTAATCTGTTTCATTACATTTTCAGGTTAGATGCTTAGAATAATTGTGTTTTGGTATAACGGAATTATCATATACGAGAAGTAGTATATTCTCAAACCTGTCCAATAAGCTGTGCGTGTCGTGGTGTTGAACACTTTCTTTCTGTTTTTGACATCTTGTGCCTCAACAAAGTAAAATACTGGTCCATAAAACAGTGTTGGTGTTTTCCAATCTGCTGATATAGTATCGTTGGTAACAGCCTTAACTTCAAGCAGAATAGGTATTTCTGGGGCTATAAGAAATTTAAAAAAAAGTGTTGCAGTTTATGTAATATGAAGTTATATAGCATTAAATGAGTATGTCCCACGTTTGATAGCTCACAAAAGGAATATTAATTGGTATTTATAAGGTAACTTTTACTTAATATTTTATTAAACTCATGCTTTGCATGCTAAATTAATAATGTTTATTTGCAATTCATGATACAAAAGGAAACATACGAAATTATTATGTGAATTGAGGTTTAAAAATGAGTAATCTTAAATGTCTCATGAATAGCATAAACTTTAGGTGAAGTGGACTGAAATGCTTATTTATTTAATTCTTCAATTAATCAATAGTAATGAAACACATTTTCTGAACAGCAAATTACTTTTAAAAACATCAATACATTTTGGAAAGTTGCTCTATTGAACCTAAAGCCAACATATGCTAATCATTATCGTCCCATTCATTTGTGGGATGACCCTGAAGTTGGAAATTCCAACATGCATATGACAGGGTATAAATCTATATCTGATGAAATTATTTAATTAAAGTTATCATGAGCAAAATAATGTTGGTTCCATTATTACATGGTTGATTCCCGAAAACGTTGTAACATAAAATGTCTCTGTTATTTTATACACCTGAATAATGTGCTTAAACAGAATAAAATGTTCCGGAACAAAATATTATTTTGTTATTTTAAGGAGGGTTTTATCCGTTTCGCAATGATTTTGTGCATGCGCCATTCGCGTTTAAGGCTATAAATTACAATTATATTTATTTCATACAAGCATTCTGGAAGCATTCTTTTTAAAATTCAAACAATATTTTTTTCATAAGATATATAGCTTTATACACTTGAAGAGATGGATAACAGGCGGAATTTTGTTTTAGAATACCTTGCCAATCAAGATGGAAAGTATTATACCGATGATGCAGATTTTAGTGAGAAGTAACTTTTTAGAATACATATCTGTACTATAATACAATTGACAAATGCTGGTACGAATATTTAATCATGTCTCAGCCTCCTGTTTAACATCTTAAGGTTAATTTACCCCTTGAGGACATAACATTTTTGCTTATTTATTTATTTCTATTTATCTATTTTTGTATTCACATGTATTAAAATGAACGATAAGAGATTGCAAAAATAAAATATTTATATTGTATTTTCGAATGAATTCCCGTTTTCTTTCCTTAAACTATTCTGACAGTAATATGACCAAACATGTAAAAAAAACGTTTAATCCGGAAACCTTTCTTATGTTCGGATTAGACAGGTTCCACTGTACCAGTAATTAAATTATACTCACTTAACTAGACTTAGCAAATATGAAGTATAGAAATACAATTTGCCTTTTCCATAGGCTCTATTAGTGATCAACACAGATAAAAAAGATTCTTTCCTAGCTATAAATGCCATGCACTTCTTAGAACAGTGCTAAAATCCTTTACAAAAAGGAAAGAATGAAATTATGATAAAATTGAACCTTACATGATATTACTTTTAAATTCACGAAAGGTCAAAATTAATATGGTATCAATAATCATAAAATTTTAGTAAATAATTTACTTTAGAAAAGGATATATTAAATGAGTTTTATCTGTACTTATTGCAAAATTTTGGTGCATTTATGCCTTGATTGTTATGTTATGAAACCTTTTACAGATACAGTAAAAGACATATATGTGTACAAATGATATATCAATGTCAATATCTAGTCTTTTTTCATCCAATAGAGTATGGAATAGTTTCATATTAATATCTGGTATAAAAGTGATCCATCTGCAGCATCAAAGAAAAACAAAAACAAACAAACAAACAAAAAACAATCAAACAAAAAACAAAAACAGCAAAATTACATGGAAATTGAAGACTCGGTTTGATTCAGTTTGAAATTGCTAATTTTGAAATTATGTACATGGATTTGGGCAGTCCAAAATAATTCTTTTTGTACAATCAACAATAGTTACTTATTTCCAGGTGTATTTTTCTCTTTTCATTTGTCATTACTTCATTATAATAGTTACAAGTGTCACATAATGGAATTAAATTTTGTTTCCGCAGGCAGCGTTCACGTAGCGGTTGAATGTCCAACGAGCGTTTCAATGAAAACAGTCGATAGCTGTTGGGTTTTTTTCTGATGTTTTACTGTTTATGGACGTGTGTTGCTTTTATTTACGTTTTTTCTACCGGTGAATATCACATCATTTTCGTCTTACTACTTACCAATCAATACAAGATATGCTTTTCGACAAATTTTAATGAATCTAAAAATAACTTTATTAAGGCTGGACGTAAATGTTTCATAAAGAAATTAAAATAATGTTTACTTTGTGTATCATATATACTTAGACTGTATTTGAAAGGTATACTGAGCACAATTCAATTAACTACCTTAAAAAACTACCTAATAAAAATATTCTTACGTCCGATTGGAGCATGTATTGTGACAGATTCAGAAGGATCTCCTTCCCCAACAGAGTTCACTGCAGACACCGTAAACGTGTAATTTCTGTACGGAAATATGTCAAATGTATGATAAAGGTTGTCACTGCTTGTTACGTTTTTGCAATACTTCCATTGCTCACCTTCATGTTCAGTTCTGGACTTATTATATAAGCAAATATTATATAATTGTATTTGCCCGTTAGTATCACATGGTACATCCCAGGCCATTGTGACATTGAAGAGCGTAGCTTCCTTTGCCCCAGTTACAGTGTCTTTATTTATTTGACCTGGCCCTTTAAATATCAAATCATTTTCATTTCAATGAGGATTATATATTATATTGTCATATTATTGTGATATATTTAATTTAAAATGGTTTTACATCTTACTTCTACAGCTAAAATGTATGGACTATAACTTTCAGAATATGTAAAAGTTGATTAATTAACTTAGACTTGCTCTAAACTAATATAAAATGAAAAGACATCTATATGCAATTTGAAAATATAAATAATCAAAAATTCTATCCGTCAAATGTGAACATAACTTGTATAATGAAAGATATTTGCGGAATAGTGTAAAAGCTTAAGAAGAAAGTAAAGAAAAAACACATTCATATAAATAAATATAATTATAAATAAATATAATTTACTGCTTTTTAATGTTGTAACAATTTCTTCTGCTGAGCTGTTCCCGGTTCCAGCATTATTTGTTGCCTTCACTGACACTTTATATGTCCAGAAAGGATAAATATCGCCACCATCAAGTTGAATTTCATTCAACGGTTCTTCAGTTATGTATTTGGTCTTCATAACATCTTCACCTTTTTTAGAGCAGTTGTACCTTGCATATGTGTATTGAACCGTGTAATTTCTTACTTCACCGTTCCTTTCAATGGGTGGTTGCCACATAAAATTTATAGTTTTGCTGGTTACATTTTTTATGGAAACATTGACAGGTATACCAGGTGCTGTAACAATAAATCAGGGTTATCAACGTTTAGGAAAAGTTTCTATAATTTGGAATACAAATACATGTAGCATGAAATATTTCTTTTTCAATGCCAAACTTGGTGTTTGCAAAAGCTTTGCAAAGAAAGCAAAAATATTTCTTCAATTATTCATAGTATTGCTTTGTTAAGATGTGTGGAACTTCAATATCACAAAATCCAAAGAAAAACATTTACATCATAACATCATAAACCACAAACAAGAAAACAAGCCATTTATATATTATCTAATTTTCCTACTTGTAAATTAAAAACTTCAATAAAAAATTGCTTATATCCTCTGTATGGTAATTATTATTTTCATGATATTCATTGGAGAAGGAATTATTTTTAGTTCGTCGGATGTTCGCTAAGAAACATTTTATGCATAAGTTGCATGCATATTATTGCATATCTTTCAAATATTCGGCATATGTTACATATTTAATCCAGATAAATTAATTGAAGTCAAAAGAGAAAGTACGAGTTTTTAAAATCGGTTTACTACATTTTTTTTCCAAATGGTATTGATATTGATCCGTAGCAACACAAATGTCAACATTAATTTCAAGCGTTATAAATCTTAGCTCTAAATGTTCATCGTTGAAGAGATATTCCAGCGTGGCAAAAGAATAGAATCATAACTGAGACTGAAAAACACTCACTAAAACATAAACAGTTGAAGAAAAATATTATAGACATCAGCAAACATACTATATTCCAGTGTATTGATTGATTCTGTATATTCATCCCCTCTTTCAATAGTAAAGGCAACAATGGAAACGGTGTAATTTCTGTAAGGGTGTAGCCCTTGAATGTCCCAAAAGAAACTGGACTTTTGTATGTCATAAATTTCCGTCACCACTTCACATTCACCATTTTCATTTCTCCTAGAATCCTACAAATATGTAAATTGAGCCTTAAAACATAACTGAAACAGAATTGCATTTGTGAAAAAATACTTTGTCATCACCGCATTAGTACTTAATATTAGGAACAGAAGATTTTGTTTTTGTTTTAATTCAGTTGAACTTTCTCATAACGTAATTTTGTCTAGTGAATTCGAGGCTCCTGGTCATATCTCAGCGTTTCAAATGAAAGACAACCAGCAGATGTGTCTAAAGTATAATAATTGGTACAAAATGAAAGTGTTCTTACTTGATAAAAATTTTGGTATTTACTGCATAACACAGTTGTATTAAACTCTGAAATACAGTTACAGTTATTTTTATTAAATATTTTTCTTTTAATTAAGTGTCAAAGGGTGAGAAAGATGTGCAACCTGACCGAGACTCGAACCCAGGACCCCCGGAATACCGTACCGCTGCTCTACCGACTGAGCTATCCGGCCGCTTACACATTTTCTCCCCTAAAAAGTAAATAGTTCTGAACCGTGACATACTCCCCTGCTTTATGGAAATTCGTCCTCGAAGTTCACAGACTAACAGAGTAATGTTAACTTAACTCATAGCTATATGCGGTCACGGTCCCCCGTTGGGCGCCAAATGTCATAGGGTGAAAAAAATGTGCAGCCTGACCGGGACTCGAGGAATACCGTACCAATGTTCTACCGACTGAGCTATCCGGCTGCCTGCACATTTTTTCCTCTAAATATTGAACAGCTCTGAACTGTGATATAAGCATGATCTATTTCTACATGAAAACATATATGATTTAAATAAATAATTATATACATGGTGCTTATCATAATGTCCTTATAATGTCCTTAGATTATTTCATAAATATCCCTCCACGGCAAACAACACTCTTGGTAGAAGTCATTATCTCAAATTATTTCATAAGATTCTTTGAAAAGCAAACACCTCTCTTAGACCAACACCATGCTGTTAAGTTTTCTTTAGAAAAAAACGCATATGATGTACACATGTATAAATAAGGGAGCCATTGGCCCCAAAGCACTCACCTGAAGACAGACTGTTATTTGTGTAAAAGTAGTGAGAGCTAGCGTTTATAATAACACTTTGAACGATGCTGGTCACTAGACCATACGAGTTGGTGCACTTTAGGAATCTGTCCGCAGCAAAATTCATGTGTTATAATCCTAATCTTAACCCACTTAACCATTAACACTTACATTACCCATACCATTAAATGTTAGACGTTGCGATACGATATTTCGATTTAAAATAAGATCATTTTGTACAAAATTATCTATTTTCAAAGGCATTGTTTATAAAGAACTGACCACTCTATTTCTATCAAAATAAGGGCACTTTGGATTGAATATGTAAATATTCCTTCCATTATAATATCCGTCATATGTTGCGGATCAGATCGGCACCTCGTTACCGCCCAATGGGCGGTTCACCTCGTACAGTATATTCCGATCCGAACCGCAACAATCTGTCAGATATATTTTCTTGCATATTCTACCATATTCCAACATATTTTAATTCTTTACCTTAGTAAAACAATTTTCCACGGAAATTTATATCATTACACCCGTAACTTATTTCTTACGACAGCCTATGCAATAATAACTTCATTCATAACGGTGCAATAACGTCATCATAAGCACGCCATTGTAGAGCACGCGACTCATCTGACACCCCATGCCAGATGAGATTTTTGGCATTGGTAAAACTAACGAAAACACCAGTCTTATTCGCAAGAAACCGGGTTTTCTTTTTTGCATTATTGAGAATAATAAACCCTTTGAGTCGCTTGATAAAGCTAACATTATGAATTTTCATGATACGATTTTGACAAACAGTAATCATGAATTTTGTAAAGTGAAATAATTCTAACATTGCATAATTTTGAAAACAGAACTGATTAATGTGATATTATTGTCCATAAAATTTCAGTTAATTACTCTGTTATGCTCCGAACAAAGATTATAATTATGTGAAAAAATGCAAAAAGTAAAGAGTTATTTAAAGTTTATTAAAGTTTATTATAAACATCCTGCGTGTTTCTGAGATTTATATAAAATAATAGATACTTAAAAGTTACTTATATTTTTTCGGTTATGCCAGTTACATAATTAAGCATAAAAAAACAAAAAGAACAATGACACAAAAGACAGTTATAGTTTTAAGTGTGATTTATCAAAGTCGATACCTTCTGTATTATGAAAACTAAATTACGGAAAGGGAAAATCTCCAAATCTAGACAATTATGCTCACATATAGAGTAGTTTCAAAGTTATGTTTTAAACTTTACAATAAAGTTGGTACAGTATGGAGATACGTTTTCAATTAAGTACACTGCAAGTATATTTGACACAATGCGTCATTGATATGAAGTGCAATATTTACCTCTTCAGAATCGCTGAGTTGGGTTTTGTTGCTCATGAATTCCTTTTTCTTTATACAGCGTCCATTTAATTGCACTAATGCATCATAGTATCTGATAATCCCATTTTTTACAACAGGAGCATCCCATGTAACCAGAACAGAGTCATGGGTTAAGTTGTGTTTGCCAAAATTTGTCACAGATTCAGGCCCTATAACAAGATGCAGTATAATAGGAACTCATTTGTAATATTGTCTTGTCATTTTTAGTTTGATTCATTAGATTGTACTGTATGTTAAAATTGATTAAAAAAGGAATTCATAAGAAAGTAACAACTTTACTTTTTTATATATTTCATATGTTTACATTGTTAAAAATAATGAACTAGTTCTGAAATAAGAAAAGGTACTTCAACAAACGCAAATAAAAATTATTTTTTATTAGTAATTTCGGTTAATTTAACATCAAATTTACAATATTTTCTTGGCATGATCAAATTAATACTATTGAAAAATATTGATTGTCGAAAAGTCGCACCCAAAACTAAACATGTCACTGGTCTGGCAACGACACTTACGCTAGCCACTATGTTAATAGTGTTTTCATTTTGAGTTACGGTTTAGCTCAGCACATTTGACTTGTCAAAGATATATGATTATATTGTTTGCTATTCATCAAACAATTCAGTTTTCGAGCATGACTGATGACGGGGAAAAGAGCAGTTAAGTAAAGAAGAAACAACCTGCATATTAAGCTTAATCACATATGATTTTAAATACAGTCCAAAGGTATCAATTTTTATATTTTAATTTCTTGCAACAGTACTAGTCTAATAGTTTGAAGTTCTAAATTGAACTGTAATACATGCAGGTAACAAAAATATTCTACGTTTTGAATATTAACAAGAAAATATTTTATTACATACATTTTTTCTTACACGTTTGTTGAAATAACAACCATGGTTCTTTAATCAAAAAAAATGAAGTAGCCTCTGTAAAAGCAGCAATGATTTTATTTTTTTAATTTGGTTTTTCAACGCCACCATCTTCTAAAAAAGGAGCGATAGCATAAAACCAAAATGTGTGCACGTTTTGATGTTTATTGTAATGACAGTTTTTGCTAATAAATGTCATTGCATTTACCGTTCTTAGAAGGCCTTTCATTCTGTTCTTGTCACAATATACACATAGAGGTACATATTGCCTCTAATCATGGAATCTATTCTATTTTACCAGATTAAAAGCGCAGACAGAATGACAAGGGACGAGCTGATTCTAGTATACCCCCTTTAACTTTGATTGTGAGATTTAGTGAGAAAGTATACCTGTTTCATTTGTTTCTTGACTAATCTTTTCTGTACTTGGAGAGCTAAGCAGCTCGTTGCCACACTCTTTATTGGTAATCTTTACAACAACAGTAATGTTGCAAAAGGTTCCGGGACAGAGTGAAAGCAGCACTGCATGTGTTTCATTAGTATTGTTGTTTTGGAAAATGTATGTATGATTGTTTGGACACAGACATGTAGCATTATATAAAAAACTATCCCGGTACCCTTTCGGTGGTTCCCACTTTATGTAAAGTTTATTTGAAGTTGTGTTTTCTGGTACTCCAACGATTGTTTTCTCATCTATCTTCATTGGTTCTGTTTTAAATATCACCATTAGCAATAATGAATAAATAAATAGATAGATGCAACTTGAAAACGTGAATTGACATTAAATGATACATTATAATTGATTATTTGTATATATAACAGAGAAGTAAGGCACGAATATTACATTAAAAAACCTGAAGAGACCATAGTTGCCTTAAGACACAAAAGACGATTTTTTATAATCATTTAGAGAAAAAAAACTTCCAATTATATGTCTTTATGTTAAAAAATTTAGCATGCTTTCGAATAATTGAGTGTTTTTGAAAAGTTTACATTTAATAGGCAGAATAGTTTGTAACTTATTTATCAAAACCATATACTTACTTGTATATGAACAAATTCGTTTCACATGTTCACTTGAAATACCCTCAACTATTGAATGCACTTCTATTGAATATAATTTCCCACTCTCTAATTCAGATATGTTCACAGGTAATTCATTTACGCCAACGGTGATGTTCGTCTTATTCTGCATTGTATTTGGTGTGACAATGAAACTGTAATTGTCAGGTGCATTTCCTTTCAAATCAACGTCTAACATGAAGTATGTTTCTTCAATTTTGTCAAAAGTAACCATCTGCGGGGACAATGGTCCTGTAATTAAAATTTACTAATCTATACTTCGAAGCAAATGATTTTTCTTTCAATTCAATTCACTGTTGTAGATTTATATTCAAAATTTATTGTATCAACTATATCAGTTATATCTATAATCATCTTGTATCATAGTTTAGAGACATTACTATTAAAAACGTGTCAGAGTTAAATCATATACCAATGCATGCACAGTGCATTAAGTACATGGAGTGCAGGTATTAATTACCCGCACTCACTGTCTGCCTAGAACATTCTCGTTGATTGACTCATTTTGTCTGGGGTTTACTTATTGATACGATATGGAAAGAGAGAACGATAGAAAAATCCTCTAGTACAAATTGGATAGCCTCCTATTTCGAAGCTCTCTATTACTCAGAATATATAAATAATTATACGAAACTACGAATATATGTCTCACGTCACTTAGGAAGCCTGAAGAAATTGGAAGTAAGTTGTATTAACAGTTAACTACATAATTATATACATGTATTTTGTGCGGTTTGAAGAAATGAAATGGTATTATTAAAATGTTAATTACCTTAGAAAGTCTTATTTTTTTACTGCGAATACTTGTACTTTTTGCACCACTTGTTAGACAACGATGCGTCAAAATTACATTTTTTAGAATAACTTTTGTTACTTTTTGAACCATTGATTAATAAAGTCTTTAACTTATTTCATATTATATTAAATAAAACATCATTACTGATCAAGTAAATAAGTTCGGCATTAAACATTTCATACTAGGATGTATTTTACTCAACATTTCTTTTACTTAATATGAATATGCTCAAGACATTTGTACAATTCACTAAATATGTTTGGACACATTACCAAATCTCTTGTAGTATCTTTATGGAAAGTATACCATAAATATTAGACAATTCTCTCTCTCTCTATATATATATATACGAGTACATTGTACATTAAAAAAAATATCTTATTGGACAGAATACTTGGAATCATTTTAGATAGTTTACATATTAAGTTTTTTTCTTAGTTTACTTAATACCTTATTGAACAATTCTCTAAATATTTCATTTTATATTTCACTAAACAAATTATTGCACAATCTATTCAATACTTTTATTGGGCAGTTCCTTTCATGTATATGATTTGACAATTTACTAAATACCTTGTTTCACAGTTAACTTAATATCTTATTGAATAGCTCATTTGATATCTTGTTGGACAACCCACAATATATCTTATTTGACAATGCTCTAAATATCTTATTGGAAAATGTACAGAATAATTTATTTGACAGTTCACTAATTTTTTGTGGACAATTCTCTAAACATCTAATTGAACAATTCACCGAATACCGGTATTGTTTTGATTGCACTGAATATCCTATTAGACATTCACTTAATAACTTATAGGACAATTAACTAAATACTTGATTTGACATCTCACTAGATATCATCAAAAATGGAATTTATTTAAATTTAAACTATTACACAAAAATGGACTTTTTTAGCTGGTGAATATGTTGTGATATGTACTGAAAAAATTAATATTGACCGAGGCAATAGACCAGCTAAAAAGTACATATCTGTTTTATTATATAATTTATACATAGCTTTTATATGGCTTATTAAATCTGCCATTGCCTACGGCGAAAATCGCCATTTTTCAGTAAGTCTAATTTTTCCATAAATTGGCCTTATCTTTTAAATGAGCGCATTATAATGAGCAAGCTTATACTTAGTGTTCTTAAAAATGTAGAACCGGTAACTAAAATAGACTAATTTGACTCTTATTTAGAGAGTCATGCAACATTTTTTTCCAGAATAATATAATTATAACAACAAACTTGGCGTGACGTCACGTCATAGTCTCTCGTCTTTCGGGGAATTCCAGAAAATCTATTTTAAGAAGAAAAACCGATGAATATACTTTGAAAATCTATTTTTGGAGAGAAAAAAACAGTGAATATACTCTGATATTGACCTGTTATTTTTGAAGTGCTTGTTAACCAATCAGGGAACGACATTTTAAAGCTATTTATAGATTATATAATAATGTGTAATATATATCGATACTTCTTGAATGTATTATCTGAAAATTCATCAAATATTGTATTGACTATTTCACAATTTATTGACACATCATCAAATATCATTGTGGATAATTTTCCAAATATTTCATTTGGCAATTCATAATCCTTCATATTCAATTGTTCCCTAAATATTTATTTCAACAGTGCAGATGAACAAAATGTTGTTCTGTAGAGTGTATCACAATTGTCATAACAGAAAATCAAGCGGGTGTAAAGGGAGAAAATGTGTAAGATTTTTACTTGACTCATGCCGAAGAAATTTAAACAATTTATCGTCTTCTAAGGATAATATATAGAGGACTGATAATAATCATGTTATATGCGAAGCGTGATATAATTATTTATAAATAACTTAAGACTTGTTGATCTTCATTCTTTTCAAATAAAACCTTATACATTTGAATATTGTATTTTATATATTATATACAAAATCTTTATGACATACCCCTTGTACATAAACGAAAAAAGCATTTTTAAAACAAATTTTACAGTGTTAAAACGTAGTAGCTTTATGTTTATATTGTGTAACTTACGTGTATAGATTGATCCAGTAAGATTTTTCTCGGTGGAACTGTTAAAGCCTTTCCAACGTGTATTTATCGAAATTTCGTATCTTTTTCCTGGTTCTAAATCATCAAAGGACACTTCTAATGAATCATCAAGAGTACAGTTATCCAAATTTGATTCAATGAGATGTACACAGAAGTCATCATATTTACCATACATTGGTGGGTTGATTTTAGCAGTAAAGCTTCTTTCGTGCAGCGCATAAAGTGGAAAATCGACGTGTTCAGGTAGAGCAGGCCCTGAAAAAGTTTTTGTTGAACTTACATATCAAGTTAATTTATTATAAATACAATTATATCTTTCACTGAAACATTCAAAAGATATTATTACGTATTAAACATTCATTTATTTTTCATTTTATACGGACTAAATACTAATTAAATGCAATACAATTTAGTTGCTTTGAAAGGCTGCTTAAAGATAATCTAATTGTTTTATTATTTATTTAAAATGTACTTACCCGTTCCCATGTGTGTTTTAATTGATATTAATTAAAAATGAAATGGACAAAATTGCTACACATTGTTTGTTAAGCGCCTTTAAACGTGCTAGTGAATTCAATAGAGTTCGAGATAGAAACGGTATAGATAATAATTGTAATTACATATATATATTAAAGTATAATGAATTTTACACGTTACTTTTTCTGATATGCGTCAGGCAGACAAACAATACAAAATACAGTATCTAGGTTTTTCTCATTACTTTTTAATTATTTTATTGTTTTACGGATTAAAGTGCAGAGTTCGATCATTTTAATAAGTAAACCCCTCAAACCCTCAAAGTACGTTTGTAGCGAAACAAATGATTAATTTAATATAAAGCTACATTGACAAGCTTAACTATTTCAAATGAATACCTTTAGAAAAAAGAAAAAAAAATCAAATGACTGTTTACGTCTGTGCCAGGATAGAATATTTGTATAAGAATGATGTTGAAGCAAACATTAAATATAGAAAATATTTTATTATAATGGATGCAATGTGGTAGTAATACAATGTGATGAACGTTGTTAACAAAATGCGCTTAGTATTATTGATTGTCATTCTAGCCCTTATTTTCTCTATACAGTTAAAGAAAAATGTTAGCATTTTAGTAAAAAGTTGAATGCACAAAGGTTGAATAAGATGTAAAAAGCTAGGTTTCTTACATATGTTGATTTACATACTTTTATTTACCTAATATACTTAATCTTCTATCTATTTTTAGAATGTTTTTTTTTTCTCGGATCTTATGTACATGTTCGTATGTATATATTATCATTGTAATGCAAAAGCCAAATGACTTACTTGTAAATGTTATATTTTCTGTGAAATTGTTGCTCTCAATGTCATATGTAGAAGTCGATATGATTGTAACAATGTTCAATTCATATTCAGTTCCTGCTGTCAAATTATAAATTTCGATGCAACCAGTTTCATTCACTGGCCGCGTTAAGATACGATTTGTTTCATTTGCGCTTGAAACATTTATTCTTACTACATTGAAATACATGGAGGTATCCAGGGTAAATTTAAAACGGTTATCAAATTTAGTTTCTTCGATAATTCTTGTTGCCAGCGGCCCTGAAAAAAATAAACATGTAATTATATAGCATCAAATAGTTCATGTTTCTTTACTATCCAGATGTGTGAGATGGCATTCTTATCAGTTGACATGTACACATATTTTATGATTTTTTTTGTACACGATTCTAGATATTTGGTATAACTTATATTCAAATGCTGGTTCACGATGTAATAATATCAACTAAAAGAAACTTTGAATATGTTTGCATCGAGAAGTTTTTTGTTATACACGTACGTCAAAACAAATATTAGTGACATTGAAATGGCGATGTCCGTCGTCACTTTTTTTTTTAAAGGGCATCTTTTAAAGAAAAAAGACCATTTCGAGTTATATTTTATAAGTGCACTGTATATATAACAGTATCATAAAGTCTTCTAGAGAATTTGAGAGTAATGACCCTTTGCAGTGTGAAATATGCATTGTTAAATGAATGTTCAATAGCCTTTCTTCTAGGTTTGATACATAAATATATATGAAAAAATATTTATTACAATGAATAGTTATGTCATTAAAGTCAATCTGAGTGATTATTAATCATTGCCATTCATATCTGAGGAATAACCACTAGTGCCAAAATACAGACCAGTATTTTAGTTTTTACTCATTATTAGTCTTAAATATAATGATGAGGGCAGGCATGGTGGATGTTAAATGTCATCATTATGCACAGGTGTATTGCGGAATAAGGACAGGTAGACATTTTGTAAAATACAGATGTATGTCAAGATTCATGTATCATTTAAGAGAAATGCATGTTATTACTCCCTTTTATGAGATTCGCCATTTTTCCTACACATTTATTTTTCAAAATGTATATATATATCGCACAATTAACATCACCAAAATACACATGCACAGTTTCACACACTTGAATTCTTAAATTGTAATACATGTAGTTAAATACATGTACTCTTAAATAATATCCAAATGTCGTTATTTTACGACATAATATGATTATATTTCAAAACGACGTCCATATCTTAAATAACTTATTTTCGCGCTTACCTGATAAAATTTGAATACTAGGTTCATTTACACTCATATTCCGCTTTACATAATAATATGACACTCGAATCAAAAGATTAATATCGGAGGGAGGTACGAATTCAAATAATGTTCTCGTAATTTTTATACTTACTTGTATAATTTAAAACAAATGTTGGTTTTTCACTTTTCAGATAACCAATTACAGCATATGCCGAGATATTGTATAGAGTTCCAGCATCTAACCCATCAAAAGAATATAAACCAGTTAATAATCCATTTCTTGATATAATATCCTCAGTAACATTGGCATTTTTGCCGGCTTTTGATATGGCGATTGATATGTTTTCAGTTGCGTTCTTGTTTTTTACACTCCATTCTACCTCAATGCTTGTCTCGTCCAATTTGTTAATTTGAAGGACGATTTGATTAGCTGGTCCTGGAAATGTAGAAATTCTTTAAATAATTTAGAGAGTCATGTTGTATGCTGATTGTTAACATATAAATCAATTACCTAATCTAAATACTGCAATTTCTAATATAGTTTATTTAGAGAATCTCAATATGCCTGTTATCATTTTATATTTGATAAAAACTGATTGACCAATATTGAACAATTTTCGAGCAATAGAAAAATGGAAGAGTAATAGGAAGTGAAATATGTTAGAAAATATCCGCATAAACTTATGATGAACATAACATTATGAGAATTTTAAGTACATAACTATATATTCGTAGTAAGGATTCCTAAGGGATAAGAAGTTAACGTTGTTTAAGTTCTTGAGAATTGTGTTGATTCTTAAGCACACTCATATAAAGGTCCATTAAGCCTTAAATGCTGTTTTAACAGCTTTTAATTTTGATGTCAAGTAACAGTTTTCAAAGCTTATTGACATTTTTGATACAACTTAGATATCTTTTGATTCTCTTGCTGCAGTTACAGTGATTTAGTACTTTGTATGGAAATGAAATTACTGTTTGTTAATTTTTTCCATCTTTATCACATATCATTTCACACTGTGCAGCTTTTTTTCTTAAGATAATAGCATATGAAATGCTTAAAATATATTTATACACATGTCGGCCGTTTCTGAAAATAGAAAAATAATCATTTCTGAGGCTTCACTAGCCTTTAAACTGTTGGGAGAAAATTATCATGTTTCAAAAACATTATTACAAAAATAATGTTATCGATTATGCAACTGACCGATAACACTTTCCTGATAGTTATTTCAGTAACCAAGTTACCCCGAGTTACTTAAAACGCTGGTCCATTCTTTAAGTTTCTCTATTATCAGTATCAAATTTCTTTCAATTTATTTTATGACCATTTTAAATATGCATCAAGTTAACATTTATTTTTGGTAACATGATCAATAGAACGAAAACTACTGTTACATTTTGGCGACAAGTACATGCCCTAATCCCCTGTCCTTTTGTCTGGCCAATTAGTTTCCAAAAATAACTCTCGTGTAAATGATAAACAGTTTTAAAAAGTTATTTGCTTTATCCAAGTTGAATAATCCATGATAGAGGATGACATTACGCATACATCAAAATAAGAACGTTGACGATTTTACGAATATAACACCTTATTATTACTTGATACATATCTGTCCATCAATGAAGTTCTAAATATTTATCAATCATTTATTTAGTGAAGTAACATAATTGTTTTACAAGTTACAGACAGATTGTTGCAAAATATGAAAAATACCCACGAAATCAGTCCAAAATATAGGGCGAAATATGCACCCCTCTAGAAAAAGCATAAAACTTGGCACAGTTGTTAGTTCATTTAAGGTCAGATTATCGTTTTGTAACATGACAAGCGATTGGCTGAAAGGAGTGTAGTGAACCCCCATAAGATTGAATGGGGCATTAGGTGATTGTATGAAAATGTGATATTTAAAAAAGTCGGTTGAATAATTTTGTCACATGGATAATATTATTTAAAAAGTATAGAGCACTCCTGTGATCAGCAGAAACTTTCATTGAAAATGTGAGTTATTCTCTTCGACGGCAATATGAAAAAAATCTCGCCTACTCATATATAACATGATCATTTTATTCATTTCATTCTCCTACAAAAATCTATCCTTTAGCACAAAAACTCAACTTTAAGCATTTCTAATAATTCAGGTCTATGGAAAAATAACAAAATGCCATCTGAATTTAATTAAGCATTGATCCAAGTTGTGCCATAAATATTGCAAAGATTGCAGTATTTATGACATTGTCTACTAACTTCAATATAATAGCAGTATTTATAAAGTTGTCTACTAACTTCGATATAATAGCAGTACTTATAAAATTGTCTATTAACATTTTCTTGCATGTCAGACAGGATTATTTACCGTTTACACCGGTGCTAGAAAACCTTGTCTTACACCCCTCATGTAAGATAAGTCGCGTGCATTAATTGACGTCATTGCCGCGCGCCTTTTATGATGAATTGCGCTCTTAGGATGACGTCACTTAACCGTTATGAATGAAGTTGTAAAGTTCATACGCTTTTATAAGAAAAAAGTGCGTAAAGACAATATCAGTTTTCGTAATTTCTGTTCTGAAAATAATTGATATGTAATATGCAAGAAAAAGAATCAAACACCAGCTGTCGGTATATACTGACGGGAATATTTAGCTCTCGGAAAACTGTTTAGCGGAAACTCGGCAGAGCCTCGTTACCGCCGTAAACAGTTACCCTCGAGCTAGATATTCCGGGATGTACCGGCAGCCGGTGTAAGATTCATATATTATGACATTGTCAACTAACTTCAATATAATAGCAGTATTTATGACATTGTCTACTTACTTCAATAAAATAGAAGTATTTATGACATTGCCTATTAACTTCAATATAATAGCAGTATTTATGACATCGTCTACTAACTTCAATATAATAGCAGTATTTATGACATTGTCTACTAACTTCTAATATATTCTATAAGATAATAAATATATGTAGATAATTTTCGAGTTTCATCATTACAAGTTGATAATAAATTATAGAAGTTAGTAAGTAAAATTTGACTTATGTTATCTTAAGTTTTCTTATATTTTTTGCAGTTTAAGGAAAGATGCAGTGACTGACGAGATAAACTATTTTGAAAAAGAATCTAATAATCTAAATTACATCAAAAGCAGTGAATGATACGTTAATTGAAATGTCATTCATAATCAAAATAAAAGAGATGATTAAAGGCAATGGTCCATATCTTAAGAAAACCAGAAGTCAATGAAAGACTTGCTGAATATTCTCAAATCATTCAAGTCAGACAAAAGTCTTACCTTACAGGCATATATCAAGTATAACCTATATTATATGAACAATTTCAAAGTTTAAATTTTATGTTACTTATTATAAAATCTTAATTCCTGGAGATAGTATGCCATATATAAAGGAACTTACAAAAACATTATAACTGGAAAGTAAAAGTTGGGTTTATAGCAACAAATATAGCTTGATTTTATTATTAGAATTTAACCCTTTGGGTTATTGTTTTATTGATCACCTATTTGCCAGAGGTTTTTCTAAGAAAATACTATATTATTAATTAATATAATAATTATTATTTATTATTAGTATTATAACAATTATATATGTTTCCAAATCTGTGAGTATAATAATAATTATTGTCGATGGTATAATTTTTCTTTATTTTATTATTATTATTATTATTATTATTATTAATTTATTATTATTACTATTATTATTATAGAAACGGCTAAAGCCGTCCATATGGTAAATACGCCGAAATAACAGGGACGGCATAAGCCGTCCCTATGGCAGTGAAAGGGTTAAGTGAACTCTTTCTTATATATTTATTTTATCTGTCAAAAAGTGTATTCACGTTACAGACGGCCAGAAAGTGGTAATACCATTTATTCCGGTCATCTCGGACTTTTAGAACCTGATTCTCGTGCGCATGTAATTTAACAAATGTTCCTAGGTAACATGCTTTTCATAATAAGTGTACAATTATTCCATAGATTTCTGATACTATCTTGATGTTGTATTTTTCACATAACCAAAAAATAATAAAAATGACTTCCATATATCCCTTCTTAAGCTCTACTACACTTAAGGAGTTCAATGTTTAAGAAATATTTTAATGAAATATAAGTTTATTCATACTTGTAAATACTCAAAATCAAACACAAAAAACATCTATAAGATAATGCTTTTTGTTTCGATTTTTAGCTTTTTAAGTGTTCGCACAGTTATTAAAATGCATTTCTGCAAGTATATATACAGTATAAATATAAAAGAAAAAGATTTGAAGTAATTGTCTCAGATTTCATAAAAAAATACATTTAAAAAAATGAAATTTTAAATTGCCATTCCGATGACAGACTCGATATGTACACAATTCCAGAAGAATCATGCATTAAAACTACAATGCTTATTTCCTAATCTCTCTGCTTTTTCAAAAATATATATGAAACTGTTACCTTTAAACTAATTAGATGAACAAGCTTAAAATAATAATCTGTACAAATTTATATCTTTTTTGTGTTTTATCAAAATAATATTTAATTAAAATTCTTAAAAGATGATGTAACCGTACAATTCAGTAACAATCAGGGTTCGAAAATATTACGGTAGTTTTTTATTTATCTTATATCAATGCAGAATCATATGTCGGTTGCATTCAAAGCAGAAATGATGTCATGACAAATGTTTTGTAATGTAACTCTTTATTAATGCGTCTTTTGACTGCATGATATTTCATTTTGTTTAAAACATGATGACAGGCACACGACTTAAAACAGACTTAAAACAATTTGAATTAATGCACGAATAAAATGTTTCTTTTTTATAATACTACAACGGATTTCATATCTTATGAGTCAATAAATAATTGTAATTATCTCAAAGACTTACATACACGTTATTCTAAAAAATGAAATAAATGATAACTTACGTGTAGTGAAATTGAATGTTCTACAGTCGTCGCTTATAGCATCATATCTTCTGATATACAAGCATCCGTAGTAACGTGTGCCAGATTTTAAATTCTTAATTAACTTAAATGGTCTTTTATCTTCTATACTGAAATTCCGATAATTTCCATCAGGCGATTTGACTGTTATATACACAGATGAACTATTAGTCATAGACCAGCTCACTATAACTGTGGTTTCAAATATTGAGTCATTGTAAATCGTTATTGTAAGGTCTTCTGGAATACTTGGAGCTGTAAAGTAATTGAAAAAACTATCGTCAAGTTTAGAACTGAAATTGACATGATTCGTTTTAGTATATTCTACTATTTATCCCTGTACTTCTATTTCAAATAAATATTTTGCAATTTAACACTATATCACGAGAAAAAAATGAATGAAGTATTAAAAATTGAACAAAATTACAACCCAATTGAAAATATGAAACATAAGTTTTTCTATTATCACTTCAGCTCGACAGAATTTAAAATAGCTTTCAACTACAGATGTGCTCCGGACAACAAAAACAGCGATGAACAGCATTTGGTTGGCGCAACCAATTTGAAAAAAAAAACACAACAGAACTGAAGTGTTATATACACATACATGTTGGCCAAATCATATCAAATATAATTGAAAACAATTGACTTAAATACAAAGCGTAATGCTTGTTTTCATACCGTCAGATGAAATATTTCAATTATTTTTCAGATTATTTTCAATAAGTTTTATTCAGTGAAGCACAAAATGATAAATTAACAGAATAAATAACATTCCTATGATAAGTGGTTCTGTCGAAAACGAGCCTTGGCGAGTTCAATATTGAACTAGTTGTACGAGAGTTAAGACTTCTCAATCGTAAATTAAACCCTTAATTTGATTTGATGGGTTTTTAATTTACCTGGACATAAACGAAACTAAATAAAAAATAAGTTATGCTACTTTTTATGCCCGCTGAATATAATTGTCAGTTTGCAACGACATTTAGGAAAAAGCAGTGTAAATATATTGCACTATGAAAGACATTTCATTGGGATATTCACTCTCTGGTATTATATTTCTAGGTATTCATTATTAGTCAACTTTGGAGTTACCAATTGTTGATGATTTTATTAAAAAACAAAGAACCCAACAATTGTTTTGACTTCCAGAAAATTACCAAACAAATACTTTACTGAAGTAATTTTTACATTTTCATTAAAAAACCCATAAATACTCTGATAATTTATACGCTTACCTATTTCACAGTGTTCACCATTATATCCTTTTATGCAATTACATGTATATGCGTTAGTTCCATCATCACAAGTGCCTCCATGTTCACATGTTATATCCTCGCACTCGTCTATATCTGAAATGATTGAATATTGAAATATGAGAGTATCTGGTCGTTGGTTCGACTCTAACAATGGTTAGATTTAATATATACATAAAACATTGATTAAACTTTATTCCCTTACATTAAATAGAACAAGAGAAACGTGATATTCCATGTCCACGAAAATGAATCTGGCCGACCTAAAGGTAATTAGCAAGATAACAAAAAATAAACAAACAGTTAGCATCTTGAAATTCGAACAAGAACCAAGTCCTCGCAAGGGGCTAACCTTCATGTACTCGTATAGGTATGGTAAAGAAAGCTTTTTTAAAGTTTTCTATTGATAACAAGTAAAAATAAATCATAGTCACTATATTTGACTTTTTCCTTTAAAGCCCCTTAGTATACTTGCACGTGTATTGTTAATTAACTGTACAATCAACCGGAAGTAATACTCAGATTATCTTGAATTAACGCAAAGTAAAACTAAACAATAATTAAAATCTCAAATTGCTTGTGAATGTTCAATCGAATAGAATTATCATTTCATTATAGACGTACTTTTTTATAGACAATAAATGTGAACTTACCATGTTCACAATCTTCTCCATCATAACCTGCTGTACAATAACACATGTGACTGTTTACACCATCTTCACACGTACCACCATTCTGACACGTAACATTTATGCAGTCATCAATATCTGAAACATTCAAATGTGTATTGTATTTATTATACATATAACTACGGTGTCTTTTTTCGTCCACAAAATTTCGCTAGTAACACGCGATAATTATCGCCACAAAAGGGCGAAATTTAGTTCAGAATTCCGCATGTCTAAAATTTCGCTAGTCTCTTGAGCGCTCTTTTTGAGAACGAACAGGAAACATGTAAAAGCGAAATTGGAAAAGTTCAATATGAAGGATCCCAGTAGTTTAAATGTCCCTGGTCTACAGAAAAGGCGTTAATTATCGCTTGAGAGACTAGCAAATTTAATAATGCGAAATTTAGTACTAAATTTTGCACTTTAGAGACGATAATTATCGCGTGTTTACTGGCGAAATATTGTGGACGAAATAGGACACCGTATATAACAGATGGGATTATCCCGTTTTGTTTGATGCGAAATTAAATACTGAAATGCCTACATTAAATTGCTAAGAAATGAATAAGTAATTTCAAAATTAAATTTCATTTGCAAATCGGCAAAACCTTGCCTATGGCAATGCATACGAAACATGTACAAAAAAGAACTTGAAATATAACACACATTTATGCAAGGTACATATAAAATGAGAACATACATCAGCATTCTTTTTAAATAACTAATGCATATCACGGTGGTTATAATCATATAACATTATCTTCCTACATTTATAATTTTTCATGGCATTTGATCAGCTTTGTCCAAGAGTTTACTTATCTGTAATAATCAAGTATGTTTATCTGCCTGTTTCAATTTCTAAAAATAAAGAACCAAGTCTGCAACATGTCAACTCGTTTCTTCATTTGTCATTTTGTAAAGCATTTCTTTAAAACAAAAATAAATGATTTGAATTTCTAAAGTGATCAATCAATAATTTAAATAAATGAATAATGTAACAGAAGTTTTATTTGTTTCAGCTTAGGTTGCCTACTCTGTCCTTTAATTTATGATTAAGACATTTATTTTAAATATCAACTTACTATTTCCACAATCTAGACCATCATAACCTTCTGCACATTTGCACGTGTGATTATTGACACCATCTTTACACGTACCACCATTCTGACACGTAACATTTATGCAGTCATCAATATCTGAAACATTCAAAGTGTATTGTATTTATACGTTTATTCACAGAGGTGGGCTTGAATTCCGCACGGTTGAGCCATGAATACGAAAAACGCAAATAAAGTTTAAATTAAATGGTTAGTATTTGTACAAACAAGAGCCGGTTGAACCGGATGATGCTCCCCGAATAGGTTTTGGACACAGGGAGGTATACATCTTGTTGTGTCAGAGTTATGCCACAGACAAAGTTCAAAGTGTAAAAACAACCCAAATATTGTGCACAACACATTGTCTCAATATGGTGATCATTTTTGTGAAATAGTTGTAAAATCCGACTTCAAATAACGAAGTAATGCGCCGGACATGATTTTGCTGCAAGGTCATGCTGTGACCTTGACCTTCAAGGTAGGGACCCAAATGTTGCATGCGGCACGTCGATTCAATATGGTGATCATCTCTGTGAAATAGTTGTTAAATCCGACTTCCAGTAACAAAGTTATGGGCCGGACACGATTTTGCTGCAAGGTCATGCCGTGACCTTGACCTTCAAGGTAGCGACCCAAATGTTGCGCGCGACACAATGTCTCATTGTGGTGATCATTTCTGTGAAATAGTTGTAAATTCCGACTTCAAATAATAAAGTTATGTGCCAGACACGATTTTGCTGCAAGGTCATGCTGTGACCTTGACCTTCAAGGTAGCGAGCCAAATGTTGCGCGCGACACGCGATTTTAATAAGGTAATCTGACTTCAAATAAGGAATTTACGGGCCGTTCACGATTTTGCTGCAAGGTCATGCTCTGACCTTCAAGGCAGCGATCCAAATGTTGTGCGTGACACGTCATCTTAATATGATGATCATTTCTGTGAAATACTTTTTGAATCCAACTTCAAATAGCGAAGTTATGGGCCGGACACGATTTTGCTGCAAGGTCATGCTGTGACCTTGAACTTCAAGGAGGCGACCCAGATGTTGCGCGCAACACATCGTCTCAATATGGTGATCATTTCTGTGAAATATTTTTAAAATCCGACTTCAAATAACAAAGTTATGGACCGGACACGATTTTGCTGCAAGGTCATGCTGTGACCTTGACCTTCAAGGTAGCGACCCAAATGTTGCGTGCGACACGTCGTCTCAATATGGTGATCATTTCTGTGAAAAAGTTTTAAAATCCGACTTCAAATAACAAAGTAATGGGCCGGACACGATTTTGCTGCAAGGTCATGCTGTAACCTTGACCTTCAAGGTAGCGACCCAAATGTTGCGCGCGACACGTCGTCTCAATATGGTGATCATTTCTGTGAAATATTTTAAAAACCGACTTCAAATAACAAAGTTATGGGCCGGACACGAATTCGGGACGTACGGACGGACGGACGGACAACCCGACGACTATATGCTCCCCCGGAAATTTTTCGGGGAGCATAATAAATTAATAAGATATGTATGTTTTTACCAGGTTTTACATTCTTGTATGATTCAAATGACCAGTACACAGCATTGACTCTGTTATTTGATATTACAAAATACCGGAAATACTTTTGGAATGCTATCGAATAACAAGACCAATATCTTAAATGTGAATTGGGATTTTTTTCTTAAGTATCTGTATTGATATACGTATTTGTTATACATATATAAAATGTCATTGTAAAATGGAAATGCAACTTGTAAACAATAATAATGAAAATAACCTATTGATTACACAACGCAGTGGGCAAAATAGTTACCTAAATAGAAATATGATAATTAACTTTATATGATTTCCTTTTCTGTTTTCTGAGTTTGTAATAAATCTAGGTTTATATGCCAAAAATAAAAATTAAACTTCATTTACATAAACGTTTTAGTTATACAAATGTAATATTTTTAAACTGATATTGTTAAAGTCTGCAACTTATATATGTCTTGAATAAAACTATTACTTTAAGCACTAACATACTACACCAAAACTAGCAAAACTTCTTGAAATTTTACGTATTATAAAATACAAGTGTTTTCCAGCTCAGATTGTTTTTATTATTTTGAAATATGAATATAACCTTTACTTAAACATAAACTCACTATGTTCACAATTCCGTCCATCATAGCCTAGTGTACACTTGCACGTGTAATTGTTGACACCATCTACACACGTACCACCATGTTGACACGTAACATCCTTGCAGTCATCAATATCTGAAGCAAACAGACATGTCCTAAAAAGAGGGTAGGACCTTCATTTCCTATATGCGTGGGATTGAGAAAGGACAAAGAAATTTGTTGGGGTTGGTTTTAGCTTAAATAACTTCAACAGGGATGAATAATTTTAACAGGTATCACACTGGTCATAGTTCTTCAGAAGCGATGGGCCATTATATTGACAGAAGCGGTGGAGCAATCGTAGCAGAACCATGTAGTTATATGTCGCCGATGTCATCGGTCAATTTAATTCCGTGTTGTACTTTTTATTATACCATTGTACTGGAAACACCTAGTGAGACTGGAGTCCGAATATATGCTTTTTCAACCCTTAACACTTACACGCTACAATGTTTTGCCATTTATGTTAACATTTCTGTAAAGTTAAACAAGGGGATGCCTCATTTGCCAAATTTAATTAAAACCGGAACAATTGTGTTTTTGCGTGGGGCCAGTGTGGGTAGGTCCTTAAAAAGTTAAATGGGATATTAATTCTGTTATTAAGTCATTTTTATTATTAACGTTGCAAAATGATGCTGAGTCCATATACATATTTTTGTAAAACGGGGATTGTGGTCAACTTCATTTATAAAGACTATTCTCCATGCAGTGTTGTAGTCCAGTTACCATTTTCGCTACGCAGAAATAACAGGGGACAACCTATCCAGACTTCTTGATATGTGTAGTTCAGTTGTCACCATACTGATAGCCCCTTAACATACTGATAGTCCCTTAACCTGCAGTTGACTCAGTTTCTGAATTGTAGGGGTCTTGGCGTAAGGAGAAGTGTCTTGTAGGTATTTGGCGGTAAATAGCATGACTTTAGGCAGGTTGAATATAATTAATAGTTTAAATTAAAGTTAATGACATAGAAGAAAGAAAATGGGGAGAACCTGATAAATACTTATATCGCCAATCAAATAAATATAATGACGCATAGTTACAGGATATATTTTTGTCATCACAAATAAAACTGATACTTTGAATGGTTCATCTTTTAAAGAATTTTCTGCTTTACCATCTTTGAAAGTCATTTTTACATTAGTAAATTCTTTATAAGACACATGGTATTGTGTTTATACAGTCAAACTTTGTTCGATCGAACTCGGAGGGAATGTGAGATCGGTAGTTCGAGCCAACGGAGATTGAACTATTATTATGTATTATTATATCATATTTTACGTAGGACATGGGCCTGTAGGTTTTTCAGCTTGCATCGGTCAAATGATAAGTCAACATTATTGTTTGTTATCATATCAGTTCGTCGAATATGTTATTACTTGTAAATATATAGAGGATATTTGTTTGTTTGTGTGCAAGATGAAATGTCCTTAATATTAACGTTAATATTAAAATCTGTTTTCCCCATTGACAGCCTCATTTAGTCGAATTTCTCATTAAATACAAGAAGTCTTGGGCTGAAAAATTAGTTCTACAATCAACGTTAAATGGCGGTGATATTATTCATTTTATTTTTAAAAAAAAATATGAATGCTCGCTTGTTTTAATAATAAAAACAAACAATTCTAGTAGGAGAAAAAGTCCAACTATCCATCCATTTCTGTTACTTGCTGCGAATTTATATATATTAGACCTGGCTTTGTTAAATGTAAGTGGTCGCCATTTTTAAAAGTTGTGTATTTCAAGGGAGGAAAATAATTGTGTTTGATTCAGAGGGATATCATTGGGATTTGCTAGTCATTCACCTATTTTAAAGAAAGAAGACTTATTTGAAGATTGTAACATACAATAAATAAGTGTTGACAGAAGTGTAAACATTCAAAAAGCGACTAGGAAATTGGGAAACTTGGAATTGTTGAAAGGCTGCCTAACGAAAGCTGGGTTGTTTACTTATTCTTCGGGCTGATGGCTGTCATTGCTTTTCAAGTTTTCATAAAGCATACAGCAGTTATTGCTCGTAATATACTTAAATATGCCCACATGTCATCAAGAGCAGTTTTGCATGTGGAAGGAATGTATATTTCAGACTGTAAAAATGAAAAAAATAAGAGACGATATTTGGTGATTGGTAATTTGAATGAATAGAAGTAAGTTTTCTTCTTTTTATTACTTTTGATATTTAAGTTATTTATCAATTTCAGCTTTGCTTTTCTCTGAACAGCCTGACATTGTCAGAATTGTCAGCAAAAATAAAATTGAGGTACCACATGGGAAAAATCTTAAGAAAGTAGTTTCGTCATTGAAAAGAGTGTAATTATAGTTTGATAATTTTCAATGTGAAACTATCAAATATAATGTTCACGGATAAATCAATAATCCTTAGAAAAAGCATAAAATAATAAGAATTATTATTGTCCTCATTGTTCTGATGAACTTTAATATATCATTCTAATAGACTACCAACCATTAGAAGGATATAGGGATAATTTTAAATTGACAGTTCAGTTAACAGTTATTTGTTCTATTTTGTCCATTTGTATTTGATTTTGGTAAATTTTTAAAAGACCCTAAATTAATCAGTGATGAAATAATTTACTAATCATGCACTATTGTGTAAGTTACACTGTGATTGACATAAGACAAACTTCCAATTGACATAAAAATTCTAGTGTTTTTATTTTCACACAAAATATGCATGTTTTAGGCACAGTATTTATATTAAAGGTATAGTCTGATTTTATTGACCGGTCAATTATGAATACATTATAGCACTCATTTAATTATTCGATCCCACTTCGGTTTTTTCCGTTTATTTTACGAGAATTAATATATAGTATATCACTAACGTTTGAAAAACTCCCACTAGCTTAATGTAGGTTCTCGTAACATCCGCAATAGCACTGTCGGTTAAGTGATTCCCTAATGCATGGGAGGTCCGAGGTTCGATTCCTTCTTTTGACATTCTTTTTAGACTTATTCTTTCTTTATTTTTAAGTATATTTTAATGAAAATGGTCAAGAGTTTGCAAAAGTGTCTATGCGATATGAAACAAAGAAGAAACACTGAATTGTCACGTTTTATATTGTATTTTATGGCACTGAAATGACACTTATTGATTTTAATCCGAATGAATTTTAATATTAATTCTTAAACAATGTTATATATTACCAAAACAAGTGCAAAACAAAATTATTAAAAACAGAAATAAACAACAAGAACTTCAAAAATGTTGAAAATAATTATGGACATACGTTGTCTCGATCTTACAACACGTAGGACATTAGATGTTACATGTATATACCCGTAGTTTACCCTATTGCGCTATACAGTCAGGGTAACTAATTCAGAGGAACAAGATGAATTTAATCACATCTTACTGCGTACTCCTCACGAAATTTAGCTGACATTTATCGAACATTAATATATTCTGTGCATTGACCGTATAAACAGTATGTAATTGACAGGTTAATAAAATCAAACAGTACGAATGTTCGACACAGTAATATAAATCAGGATTGTGTCGAACATACAGCTGAATGTAGTATGTAGTTAGACGATGTAAGAAGGAGGCCTGGATATCTGTATAGGGACATAAAGTGTAAATGTTAAATTCATAAGTCAGTTCTAGTATATCATAAAATTACTGACAAGGAAAGTATTGAATATGATGTGAATTCACGGGTGAAATGTCATATTAACCACGGCCATCGCCTCTATCAATATCATAACATTCAAATTGTCGGTTAAAATCTCACATCTTATGCAATGGATCGTAGGTCAATAATTGTTTTAGTATATGATCAGCCGAAGATTAAAAAAGTAAAGCCTAATATTGAAAACAAGTCATCAATGTACCTCTCATTGTAGTATAACTTATATTGTATAGATTTGAATAGAAAAATACGCCATTAAGAACAAAATGAAGAAATTAGAAGAATGTCAATAGTCTATGCTATATTGTCAAAGTAAACGATTCTGATTATATTTAGATATGGAAATTCAATTCAGCCAGTTCAGCCAATGAATATGATACATAATTTGGGCACGCTGTATGGTTATTGAATATGAGCCTGATATATTTTTAGATTTGGAAAAAACCAATTCAGCCAGTGAGTATGATACTAAACCCAGTGAATATGATACTTAATTTGCTCTAATGACTGCTATATAAACCCATGAGATTACAGCTGTTTTTAGATCTTATAACAAAGCAGTATATCAGTTAGTGAAATGTTAATTATATCATATATACAAGTATTATGCTGATTATCATCACAAGACAACATAGTCTCCATGCATTCTAACGTTGTACATCTGCATAATCTGAATAAAACATACATTTATTTGTTCGGCAAAATAATGTGCGTCATTTATCTGAAAACCAAAATATTCTTAATATGAATTGCCAAAATAAATTTATTCTTTTTAAAAAAGGTTAAGTATTTGTTATTATACAATTATTGACAAGTGAGCCATTGAATATGATGTGATATTCACCGGCAGGTGACATATTGACCGAGGCGATGGCAACGATTTCTTGAACGCTGCGCACACAAAAGTAATTCAAGTTTATACTCATCATTGCGCTTTAAGTATAATAGTAAAGTAATAATTTTTTAATCGAGAAATATGCCATAAAGAACAAAACGCAACAATTATTTTTCAATTAACACGCATAATTAACAGTCTACGGTGTATGGTCATTGACTATGAGTTTCAATCTATTTTTAGACTTGGAAAATCTATTTCAGCCAGTGAATATGATTCCAACCCAGTGAATATGATTTTATAAAAAGTTTTCTTGACTACTGTTTGGGCCAATGAGATTGCAGCTATATTTAGATCATATAATAAATAATAATATGTCATATTTTGTTGAAAAATAGAACCACGTCTTGTAAACAATAATAATAGAAATAACATTTTGATTACAGTTTGCCTTTTGGCAAAATAAGTACAAATATAGAATTATAATAATAAAAAATTATGTTAAACATTCTCCATTTCTGTTTGCTTATTATAATAAATCTAGGTTTCGTGCCAAATATAGCAAAACTTCTTGTACATAAAATTTATAGGAAACAAAAGTAATATTTTTAAAGTGATATTGTTTAATTATTCATACATGTGTATCAATCATGTATTGAATAAAAACATTACTTTAAGCATCAACATACTATTTCTACAATCTGTCCCATTGAAACCTTCTGCACATTGGCACGTGTAATTATTGACACCATCTTCACACGTACCACCATGTTGGCACGTAACATTTATGCAGTCATCAATATCTGAAGCAAACAAATATTTTTGCATTTATATTGTAATAAAGAGGGAAGGACTTTCATTTCATTCATGCGCCGCTGTTATTGGGACAAAAATAATTTGTATTTAATGCCCCAGGCACATATTCACGGATAATGCCACGGAAGAGCTACGGTCTAATCGTTCACGGATTACTACGGAAATGTGAAATTCCGTAGTCCGCTACGGTTCAAGTACGGACACACAACGGTATGAGTACGGAGTCCGACGGATTTACCACCAAAAGCCCCCGGAGAGACACGGATTGTTACGGACCGACACGGTTTGATACGGAGCGACACGAATCAGGACGGACGCACTACGGATACACTACGGTCTGCTACGGTATAAGCACGGGTTAGTACGAATAAGTACGGTCTGATACGAAGAAGAACGTATTGATAATAGGAGAAGAACGAATTGCCACGGACCTATACGGACTTAATACATCCGTCCACAACCTCTTGCATGCTCATTTTCAAAATAACTCACAAGAAAAGAACACCTAGAAAACGAATTGCAGAGTTCAATAATTTTGGCGGAGAGGATTCGGTCTAATCGCGTCCGACCCCCGAGACGCATCAGGTCCGATTAAAGTGAGTTTCTTGAAGGACGCTGGATTCTCAACAAGTTCGGCCATGAGAGCCTCATACTAAACATGAAGTGGTCTTCGTAAAAGCCCATCTCTGGTCCACCATCTCGTCTGTCTTCTCTTACCTGATTAGATTTGGACTAGTAATCATTAATGAAAAATGTTGATAAATTATGCTTCTCTTTTAATTTTAAAATTTGCTGTTTATTTTACAATTACACTAATTATCGTGAATGTTTATTTTTTGAAAATATGTAAAAAGCTTGTTAATTAATCTTATTATTACTCAAGGGCAAGCGCCCGAGGCTTATGAGACACTTCGTTTTATGTACATATTTATACCAATTTCATGATCCAATGTTTGTAAAATATGTAACATTAAATGTTATTCTATTACTTATGAATTGTAGTACGATATTAATATATTTTACCTCTATGCATGTCATCAAGCAGCTCGACCACTGCCTCCGCATTCTGTGCCATATCAATATAAAGTTGCAGCCAGTAAATGGCAATTATCATTTATTGAATGTTCCCGCAAGTATGTCTGTTTTTTAACAAGAAGTTAGTAAAAAGTACATGATACTAAATTCATCCGTACTGAACAGTGGTGGACCGTACCATTCCGTACCGTTTCGTGTTGCAACGCAATAAACCGTATAAGACCGTGCTAATCCCTGCCTCTCCGTAGTACAATGTATTTCGGTCGTGGCTTTCCGTGACAATGCCGTATTAATCCGTATTAAAACCGTAGGGTAACCGTACAAATACGTAGTTCTCAGTACCACACCGTGGAAACCCTTGACAAGTTGTTGCACTACGAATCAATACGGACTAGTACGGTTTTCGTACGGACCAGTAAACATCAGTACGGTTTAATACGGACTAGCAGGGATACGCTACGGTTGATTTTTCCGTAGCAAATTTGTGTGCATGTTCAAAAATTGTCAAGGATCGCTACGGATATACAAGGACTACTACGATTGATTACGGTTACAATAGGAAGAGCTACTGAGAAGTATGGGTACATGTAGCTACGGACGATGCCGGAATTAATCCGTGGCTCTTCCGTAGGCGTATTCCGTGAATATGTGACAGGGGGTTATATAAGGGTTTGTTTAAGCTCGAGATAGACGATTTTAACAGGTATCTATGGTGGCTGATTTGTGCCATTTCGTGTTTTCGCCCGGCGGCCCCGCGTGAGCGTGGAGAGAGCACGGATTTAAGAAATAAAATGGCAGGGGCGTGAAGCGATAACAGGCTAATTAGTAGGGATGCGGGGCAAAGTTTAAATAATAAAATTTGACCCGCAGGTACGAGGTGCCATAAAACGACGGGAACACGGAGCAAAACAAGCTTATGAGCAGGGACGCGAAACAAGGTTAAAGGAATGTATAAAACGGCTGGCGCGAAGCGAAATCACGCCAATAAGCGGGACAGGGGGGCGAAAAGTTGTGATTTTTAAGAATAATTTGGCGGGGGGGGGGGGGGGGTGAACAACAGCACGCTAATTAGCGTCCTATAGCAAAAAAAATTTCGCTTCGTGGATCACTGTATTATATTTAAATTTCGACTTTTCGCCATGTGCCCTGCTAATTAGCGTAACGGGCGTGTGAGTTTAACAAATATATCAATGTCAGAAACCAATTTATTTATTTTTGTTTATCCAATGAACTTCATGAAAAGTAATGAAGTGCCAAGTCAATACTGTTGGACAATGTTTATTAATTGTATGTCACCCTGCCATTTGTAGATCAATGTTCATATGCTAATATCGTTCTGAGTCAAAATTTTGGAAACAAACATTATTTCACTTTAAATGTAACTAACCAATTAAACATAGATCAGATCTTTTAAAAATGCGGCTTTAGCTGTCATGCCTGATAAACCGTAACTGTTGTGTGTAAGTGTTAAAACAATAGAATTAAAAATCAGACTTTCTACTTTGTGTACCTAACTGATGTTTATATCAAGGATTGCTGAGTGAATTTTAAAACGAAATCATATTATTTCTATATGTTTTTATTTTGTTCTTGTTTTCGATTCTTTACCTTATATCTATAACATTTATATTCTAAAATAAATCAAATGTAGAACTTAAAAAGATTAATTAAAAACCTTTCTTCCTATAGTGTTGGTATTACTTCTGATTAAATAGAAGATCATAAATGGCGTTTTTGAATTTTTACAAATCGCGAATATATAGCGAATATAAAACACGCGAATCAATTTAACATATTCCATCATGCTAAATATCCAAGCTGTAGCTGTTGATGGTTCAAAGACAATATATATAGAATCCCAACTCGAGCATGAGTGATTCCGTCGTGATTGAGCCGTTTTCTCATTTACCTGTACACATTAAAAACCAAATGAAAAAAGAGTTAAACTACTTTCAATGCGCGCTGACATTATTTGCCCGTTCACGACATTAATAGAGAAGTGGTATGATACTAAGATACAGTAGAAAGAAAATGGACACCGTCGGGTAAACCAGATTCATATTCGGGAATGAAACCCGATATTATACACCGCCTATCAAATAAATACATGTATAATGACGCAAAACTACAAATAAAACTGATACTTTGAATGGTTCATCTTATAAAAACTTTTCGACTATACCATCTAATGGTCAATCGATATTTGACATATTTGTAAGGACATTTAGATTCGACGTCATAATATGTCTTCATTGCGCAATTCGTACTTGTAGTTTAACGCCCCACATGGTTCTGCCAATAGACAACTTAAGAAATAATATATCCAAAACAGTGATTTTATCGCTCAATAAAATCACTATTTGGAGTTCAGTTTTTCAAACTGATGTTGTTTAATTTTTCATATCAATCATGTATTGAATAAAAACATTGCTTTAAACGTCAACATACTATTACTACAATCTGACCCATTAAAACCTTCTATATCTGAAGCAAACAAATATCTTTTGCATTTATATTGTTAAGAGGAGGGTAGGACTTTCATTTGATATATGCGCTGCTGTGATTGAGAAAGACAGAAATAATTTTTAGTTAAGGGTTGGTTTTAACTTAAATGAATTCAACTGAGAGGAATAATTTTAACAGGTATCTATGGTGGCTGATTTGTGCCATGTTGTGTTGTCGCCCGGCGGCCCCGCGTAAGCGCGGAGAAAGAAATAAAACGACGGGGGCGTGGAGCGAAAACACGCCAATCAAAAGGGATGCGAGGCGAAGTTTAATTAATAAAACGTCGCCCCGCGGGTGCAAGGAGCGAGATTAATGAAATAAAACGACGATGACGCAGAGTGAAAATACGCTAATGACCGGGGGCGTGATTCGAGGTTAAAGGAATGTATAAAACGGCGAGCGCGGAGTGAGATCACGCTAATAAGCGGGGCACGGGGCGAAAAGTGATTTTTGGGGAGGCTATGCCTCCCCAAATGTTAAGACCGCTGCAGCGGCAATCAGGTCAAAAAAATAGCACCGTGATATTTTAAAGCTGACTCATCACTTATCACCGTAATTTACAAGTTGAAACAAGTTTTTGTTCTTAACCATCATACTTGCTATTTGTAAAGTTCATAATTCTTAGAGAAACACTTGGTTTAAACGTTTTCTAAATTTTAAAAAATGTGAGTAGTGATTTTACTGCGGCGGTAAATCGGTCATTTACATCAGTCATAAATAGTTCTGATAGTTTAACCCTTATACTTTAACTACTATACAGGGAAAATTAAAAACAAAACGCATTATTGTAAAGTACTGAATAAATGTTTGAATTATTTGGCAAAATATTGTTTTTATTTCTGAAAACAATTTTCCAATTACTCGCAGCGACCAGCTGTTTATGACGGGTCATTAACTAGAACGTTGCAACACAGTAGTCTCAATATCATGCATGTTCTTTTGTTGTTATAAACCATTAATAGTCCTGAAACATTTTTAAAAAAAAGACAAATAATGGTAAACTGTCGCTTACATCAGAGACACGGATCATGCTTGCGTGATAACTAAGTAAAACTAACTTATTAGTACACCCTAGGAGGCTGTACGCGAAAAACGCTCATAAATATATCATAATTTATAGCTGTTAGTAAATATTTTTCATACATTTAACTAAGAATTCACTGATGCCATCATGGTGATTAACATATAGTTTGAAAAAATTATATTCTTGAACCATTATCGCAAAGAAAGCACTATTTAACTACAAAACCCGTAAGGACCCTCCGCAAGAATACATTTTACATTGGCAAAATAATAAAAAAAAACAATACTTATATTTTCATCTCACATAATTCATCAATCAAACTTTTAACATAAAAGTATCTTTTAAAATAGGTCTGGCAATTGATGATCACTACTCTAATCTTTTAATTGAATTAGAATAAATTTAAACATGTGCTCTTTTATTTAGGAATATGTTGTGGTGAAAGTCTTAATGTATCCACTAATCTCATAATTAGAATTAGACAGGTCAGGGATTTATACAACCAGTTGTTTAGTTAACTACGCTCAGTTTTATCCAAACAGAAACATTCAAAAATTTGGGGTAAAAAACATGACCAAAGTACCTAGTAGTCGTTTACCCGGTGGTGATCTCATTAAACTGATTATAGATTCGAATTGATAAGAAAACACAAATAAAAGCATGTGTTTCGGTACAACAATAATCGGAAGTATAGTGAACAGTTAAATGACAGAAATATGTCGTCAAATGTGTTTTAACATGGGAATAATTATTTCAGAGAAAGACGCAAATATCAGTCTTCAATCAAATGAATGACCCGTATTGTGTAATTAGAAAGTTTATTCGATTCTAGGCCAACGCATCATAATTGGACAGTCCATGTGAAATAAATTAAATTTTCAATACAGATACATAAAAAATATTAAAGAATAAGAAGCTTTTTAAAAACAAACAAAGTAAAACGCATGTATATACGAATGACTTACAGTCGAGCATCGCAAATTCATCAATTTTACGAAACTTAAATTTGAAAACGATATTTGCGCGCGCTGAAGTGATTAATGTTAATTTGAATAAATAAAATAAAAAAAAACTTATATGCTTGTGTTCTAAAAATAATCGGCGGCATAAGAGGAATTTCGTATTCATTTTACAACACTTGAAAAATTACCGCAAAAAATGTGTTGTTGTTGTTTTTTTTTTGTTTTGTTTTTAACAAAAACTTCCAAAACACGCTATTTATAACAGCATTCATAGCACTGACGCTTCGATGTTCTCATCTATTTGCGGGAAATGGTCGACAGGGATAACTCTACGTAATAATAACAACAGATTTTTCGCACTGACGCTTCGATGTTCTCATCTATTTGCGGGAAATGGTCGACAGGGATAACCCTACGTAATAATAACAACAGATTTTCCGCAGTACATATATATTTCAAGCTTGTGAGGTTTAAAACTATCGATAAACTACCATAAGTTGGGTTGAGTGTTGGCGGTAAAAAAGAAGATATAACTTCCTGATCAATGATTCAATTTTGAATAAGTTTTGCAGATATGTATTTTTTCAAGCAATATTTAGCTTTAATAAATATCCGAAGCCGTCAAAGTCAGCGACGAGTAAAAAAATGGGAATAACTTTCTGAAACGTGGTTTTATTCAAGATTTGCTTCGGGAGAAGACAACTTTCTGTCCGTAGAGCATGAATATTAAGACGGTATCTTTATTTATCTCATTACAGATACATAAGAACATCTCACCACAAGTCAGTATGTTTATTGATCTCAATTATATGGTACATGTAAATATGTATAATTTTTATGTTCAATAAAAATTTCGCATAACTTGCAGTTGTTATTATCATTCGATTAAAATGACATAAAGTATTTATGATGAACAGTCCTCGAATATAGTGATAAGGAACCGTCAGTTGTAAAATGGTATTGTGATCTTATTTTGAGCAGTCGTCATACTTGCTGGTATATGTCATTTATTATTGGCAGTTTAGGTTCTTCAAAATGTGCATGATTAACAGTCCGAACGTAGACCTCAATGAAAAGTACTGGGGTATTAACAAAATGAATAGTCCGCTAATTAGCGTCCAATAACACTAAATATTTTGCTTCATGGCCCCGCTGTATTACATTTAAATCTCGATTTTTCGCCCTGTGCCCTGCTAATTAGCGTGTTTCGCTTCGCGGCGCTCCCGCCAATTTAACTTGTTAATTCTGGCAGGGTCGCGGCGCAAAAACACAAATGGCAGAACTCAGCCACCATAGGTATCCCACTGGCCATAGCTCTTACAGAAGTTGTGGGTCAATCACAGAGGGGGTGAAGCAGTCGTAGCAGAACGATGTAGAAATGTCGTCGTTGTCATCGGTAAATTTGATATCGAGTTTTACTTTTTATTAGACGCCACGTTTGCTAAATTTTGATAAAACTGTATTGTTTTTTGCGAGGGCCAGTGTGGGTAGTTCCTTAAAAGATAAACATACATTTATTTCTGTTTTTTAATCATTTTTATATTTATAACACTGCAGAATGTTGCCGGGTCCATATACATAATTTTGTAAAACGAGAATTCTTGTTAACTTTATTTATAAAGGTTATTCCTCATGCAGTGCTGTAGTCCAACTACAATGTCCGCGACGCAAAAATATGAGGGTGCAAGCCTATTCAGACTTCTTGATATGTGTTGTTCAGTTGTCACGATACTGATAGCCCCTTAACCCGCTGTTGACCCAGTTTCTGTTTCGAAGGGGTGTTGGTTTGAGAAGAAACGTATTGTATTGTATTTGGCCGTAAATAGCATGACTTTAGGCGAGTTTAGTTTAATTAATTGTTTAAAATAAAGATAATGAGCTCTGCATTCTCTATGAATATACCATTTTAGGTGTTAAGCTTTTTTATCTTAAGGAAATATATTGATTTCGTCCATTTAATTTGCATGTAAGAAAGACAAAAGTTTTCTTTTGTAAGAAAATGTTAGTATTTGCACATTTAAAAAATTGTAGCAGGTTAATGATACAAATGACGACAACACCTCTTGGTTTGTTATTTGTTAAATGCTCATGAAATGACAAATACTAGTACTTGAAATTGCATATGACGACTTACAAACAACAAAAACATCAATCCTCAAAAGAATAATCGAATTTGATTTGGGTATAATTGTATTTGTTGTTGATGATAAGGATGATGCTGTTGTTGGGTTGAAGTGTTTCGTTTTCATTTCTTTCCCAAATATCCCGTATGATACATATAGTTTTGTACACGTTAAAATGAAACCGTACAATTTGTTAAACAAATACATGTACTGTAAAATAATTCTAATTTAAAATCAAAATATCAGTTTGTTAAAGACAAAACTGCTACTGAAGCCATTATTTATGTCAATATAATTTTTGAACTATTCCCTATTTCTGAATTGGATAAGTCTATCTTTCTATGCAGAACAAAGCAAAAGATATAGTGAATTTAGAATCCCTAAATAAAGCCCAACGCGGATATATTGAAAATGTTGCAGGCTCGGTTTGATTGAGCCTGTTCATAGACGGTACTGTTAAGTTCAAACAACCGTCCATGTCCCCTAGCACCGGCTTAAGCAGAATGTGAACTAGTAAAATTAAGAATTTTGAAACAGCCGCAGATGTGTTCATATGGCGGTTATGATGAACTTCAATGTGACACGTTAGTGCCGTTCCATGAAAAGCGGCATATGGTCCCCAGGTAAACAAATGCCTGTGCCTTAAACGAGAAAACTATGGGGCGGAACTAAATAAAATGGAATTTTGAAAGGTAATCTGAGGTTATGAAGCCAAAACTTCTTGCATATGGTCCCCAGGTAAATAAATGCGTGTGCCTTAAACGAGAAAACTATGGGCGGAACTAAATAAAATGGAATTTTGGAAGGTAATCTGAGGTTATGAAGCACTTATGAACACTTCTTGGAACTGTACCTTATATACATCAGAAGTGTTTTCCAGCTTAGATTGTTTTTAGTTTATTTAATATAAGACATTAACTTTCAACATCAACTTACTATGTTCACAATCAGGTCCATTATAACCTGCTGTACAAGTACACGTGTGATTGTTTACACCATCTTCACACGTACCACCATTCTGACACGTAACATTTATGCAGTCATCAATATCTGAAACATTCAAATATTGCATATATAATTATGGTTAATAAGAGGTATTCGCTTAAAATATGTTTATTTGTGCTGTGATTGAGGAAGAGAAAATTAGTTTATAGCTAAGGACTGGTATTTGCGCATTTTTTTATGGATGAAATTACATTTATTTCAAAGAACAAAATTCTTATTTAGGTAAACAATTTTAAATATGAAAGAATATCGCAAGAAAAAAATTCTGATATATGTTTCAAGTTCAGATCAAAACATCCGTCCCTCAGGTAGCCACCCATTGGCGGTAACTCGGGAACCCTCGTTACCGCCCATTAGGCGGGTACCTTGGGACGGATATTCCGATCCTAACCGTAACATATGATTGATATTATTAATCCGAAGCTGATCCTTTAACATCACAGCAAAGTAAGCATAGCTAACCCTCGTTACCGCCCATTAGGCGGGTACCTTGGGACGGATATTCCGATCCTAACCGTAACATATGATTGATATTATTAATCCGAAGCTGATCCTTTAACATCACAGCAAAGTAAGCATAGCCCAACAAATCTGTAAACTTATATTTCATATTATATATATATATATTTTTCATGCCCCACATGGGGAAACAACAATAATTCACTTCGTCACATAACCATTTATGGGTCGTTAACCCCTTAATCCGCAGTTGACTCAGTTTCTGTTTCGAAGGGGTGTTGGTTTGAGGAGAAGCGAATTGTATTCTATTTTGCCGTAAATAGCATGACTTTAGGCGAGTTTAGTTTAATTAATTGTTTAAAATAAAGATAATGAGCTCTGCATTCTCTATGAATATACCATTTTAGGTGTTAAGCTTTTTTATCTAAAGGAAATATATTGATTTTGTCCATTTGAGTTGCATGTGAGAAAGACAAAAGTTTTCTTTTGTGAGAAAATGTTAGTATTTGCACATTTAAAAAATTGTAGCAGGTTAATGATACAAATGACGACAACACCTCTTGGTTTGTTATTTTTTAAATGCTCATGAAATGACAAATACTAGTACTTGAAATTGCATATGACGACTTACAAACAACAAAAACATAAATCCTCAAAAGAATAATCGAATTTGATTTGGGTATTATTGTATTTGTTGTTGATGATAAGGATGATGCTGTTGTTGGGTTGAAATGTTTGGTTTTCATTTCTTTCCCAAATATCCGGTATGATACATATAGTTTTGTACACATTTAAATGAAACCGTACAATTTGTTAAACAAATACATGTACTGTAAAATAATTCTAATTTAAAATCAAAATATCAGTTTGTTAAAGACAAAACTGCTACTCAAGCCATTATTTATGTCAATATAATTTTTGAACTATTCCCTATTTCTGAATTGGATAAGTCTATCTTTCTATGCAGAACAAAGCAAACGATAGAGTGAAATAAGAATCCCTAAAGAAAGCCCAACGCCAATAAATTGAAAATGTTGCAGGCTCGATTTGATTGAGCCTGTTCATGGACGGTACTGTTAATTGCAAACAACAGTCCACGTCCTTAGCACCGGCTTAAGCAGAGTTCAACATTGAACACGAACTGTTAAAATTTAGAATTTTGAAACATCCGCAGATGTGTTCATATGGCGGTTATGATGAACTTTCAATGCGACACGTTAGTGCCGTTCCATGAAAAGCGGCATATGGTCCCCAGGTAAACAAATGCGTGTGCCTCAAACGAGAAAACTATGGGCGGAACTAAATAAATGGAATTTTGAAAGGTAATCTGAGGTTATGAAGCCAACACTTCTTGGAACTGTACCTTATATACATCAGAAGTGTTTTCCAGCTTAGATTGTTTTTAGTTTATTTAATATAAGACATTAACTTTAAACATCAACTTACTATGTTCACAATCAGGTCCATTATAACCTGCTGTACAAGTACACGTGTGATTATTTACACCATCTTCACACGTACCACCATTCTGACACGTAACATTTATGCAGTCATCAATATCTGAAACATTCAAATATTGCATATATAATTATGGTTAATAAGAGGTATTAGCTTAAAATATGTTTATTTGTGCTGTGATTGAGGAAGAGAAAATTAGTTTATAGCTAAGGGCTGGTATTTGCGCATTTTTTATGGATGAAATTACATTTATTTCAAAGAACAAAATTCATATTTAGGTAAACAATTTTAAATATGAAAGAATATCGCAAGAAAAAAATTCTGATATATGTTTCCAGTTCAGATCAAAACATCCGCCCCTCAAGTAGCCACCCATTGGCGGTAATTCGGCAACCCTCGTTACCGCCCATTAGGCGGGTATCTTGGGACGGATAATCCGATCCTAACTGTAACATATGATTGATATTATTAATCCGAATCTGATCTTTTAACATCACAGCAAAGTAAGCATAGTCCATGAAATCTGTAAACTTATAGTTCATATTATATACATGTATATATATTTTTCATGCCCCACATGGGGAAACAACAATAATTCAACACGTCACATAACCATTTATGGGTCGTTAACCCCTTAACTCGCAGTTGACTCAGTTTCTGTTTCGAAGGGGTGTTGGTTTGAGGAGAAGCGAATTGTATTGTATTTGGCCGTAAATAGCATGACTTTGGGCGAGTTTAGTTTAATTAATTGTTTAAAATAAAGATAATGAGCTCTGCATTCTCTATGAATATAACATTTTAGGTGTTAAGCTTTTTTATCTAAAGGAAATATATTGATTTTGTCCATTTGAGTTGCATGTGAGAAAGACAAAAGTTTTCTTTTGTGAGAAAATGTTAGTATTTGCACATTTAAAAAATTGTAGCAGGTTAATGATACAAATGACGACAACACCTCTTGGTTTGTTATTTTTTAAATGCTCATGAAATGACAAATACTAATACTTGAAATTGCATATGACGACTTACAAACAACAAAAACATCAATCCTCAAAAGAATAATCGAATTTGATTTGGGTATTATTGTATTTGTTGTTGATGATAAGGATGATGCTGTTGTTGGGTTGAAGTGTTTCGTTTTCATTTCTTTCCCAAATATCCCGTATGATACATATAATTTTGTACACATTAAAATGAAACCGTACAATTTGTTAAACAAATACATGTACTGTAAAATAATTCTAATTTAAAATCAAAATATCAGTTTGTTAAAGACAAAACTGCTACTCAAGCCATTATTTATGTCAATATAATTTTTGAACTATTCCCTATTTCTGAATTGGATAAGTCTATCTTTCTATGCAGAACAAAGCAAACGATAGAGTGAAATAAGAATCCCTAAAGAAAGCCCAACGCCAATAAATTGAAAATGTTGCAGGCTCGAATTGATTGAGCCTGTTCATGGACGGTACTGTTAAGTGCAAACAACCCTCCACGTCCTTAGCACCGGCTTAAGCAGAGTTCAACATTGAACACGAACTGTTAAAATTTAGAATTTTGAAACATCCGCAGATGTGTTCATATGGCGGTTATGATGAACTTTCAATGCGACACGTTAGTGCCGTTCCATGAAAAGCGGCATATGGTCCCCAGGTAAACAAATGCGTGTGCCTCAAACGAGAAAACTATGGGCGGAACTAAATAAATGGAATTTTGAAAGGTAATCTGAGGTTATGAAGCCAACACTTCTTGGAACTGTACCTTATATACATCAGAAGTGTTTTCCAGCTTAGATTGTTTTTAGTTTATTTAATATAAGACATTAACTTTAAACATCAACTTACTATGTTCACAATCAGGTCCATTATAACCTGCTGTACAAGTACACGTGTGATTGTTTACACCATCTTCACACGTACCACCATTCTGACACGTAACATTTATGCAGTCATCAATATCTGAAACATTCAAATGTTGCATATATAATTATGGTTAATAAGAGGTATTGGCTTAAAATATGTTTATTTGTGCTGTAATTGAGGAAGAGAAAATTAGTTTATAGCTAAGGGCTGGTATTTGCGCATTTTTTATGGATGAAATTACATTTATTTCAAAGAACAAAATTCATATTTAGGTAAACAATTTTAAATATGAAAGAATATCGCAAGAAAAAAATTCTGATATATGTTTCCAGTTCAGATCAAAACATCCGCCCCTCAAGTAGCCACCCATTGGCGGTAATTCGGCAACCCTCGTTACCGCCCATTAGGCGGGTATCTTGGGACGGAAAATCCGATCCTTACTGTAACATATGATTGATATTATTAATCCGAATCTGATCTTTTAACATCACAGCAAAGTAAGCATAGTCCATGAAATCTGTAAACTTATAGTTCATATTATATACATGTATATATATTTTTCATGCCCCACATGGGGAAACACCAAAAATTCACTTCGTCACATAACCATTTATGGGTCGTTAACCCCTTAACCCGCAGTTGACTCAGTTTCTGTTTCGAATGGGTGTTGGTTTGAGGAGAAGCGAATTGTATTGTATTTGGCCGTAAATAGCATGACTTTGGGCGAGTTTAGTTTAATTAATTGTTTAAAATAAAGATAATGAGCTCTGCATTCTCTATGAATATACCATTTTAGGTGTTAAGCTTTTTTATCTAAAGGAAATATATTGATTTTGTCCATTTGAGTTGCATGTGAGAAAGACAAAAGTTTTCTTTTGTGAGAAAATGTTAGTATTTGCACATTTAAAAAATTGTAGCAGGTTAATGATACAAATGACGACAACACCTCTTGGTTTGTTATTTTTTAAATGCTCATGAAATGACAAATACTAGTACTTGAAATTGCATATGACGACTTACAAACAACAAAAACATCAATCCTCAAAAGAATAATCGAATTTGATTTGGGTATTATTGTATTTGTTGTTGATGATAAGGATGATGCTGTTGTTGGGTTGAAGTGTTTCGTTTTCATTTCTTTCCCAAATATCCCGTATGATACATATAGTTTTGTACATATTAAAATGAAACCGTACAATTTGTTAAACAAATACATGTACTGTAAAATAATTCTAATTTAAAATCAAAATATCAGTTTGTTAAAGACAAAACTGCTACTCAAGCCATTATTTATGTCAATATAATTTTTGAACTATTCCCTATTTCTGAATTGGATAAGTCTATCTTTCTATGCAGAACAAAGCAAACGATAGAGTGAAATAAGAATCCCTAAAGAAAGCCCAACGCCAATAAATTGAAAATGTTGCAGGCTCGAATTGATTGAGCCTGTTCATGGACGGTACTGTTAAGTGCAAACAACCCTCCACGTCCTTAGCACCGGCTTAAGCAGAGTTCAACATTGAACACGAACTGTTAAAATTTAGAATTTTGAAACATCCGCAGATGTGTTCATATGGCGGTTATGATGAACTTTCAATGCGACACGTTAGTGCCGTTCCATGAAAAGCGGCATATGGTCCCCAGGTAAACAAATGCGTGTGCCTCAAACGAGAAAACTATGGGCGGAACTAAATAAAATGGAATTTTGAAAGGTGACCTGAGGTTATGAAGCCAACACTTCTTGGAACTGTACCTTATATACATCAGAAGTGTTTTCCAGCTTAGATTGTTTTTAGTTTATTTAATATAAGACATTAACTTTAAACATCAACTTACTATGTTCACAATCAGGTCCATTATAACCTGCTGTACAAGTACACGTGTGATTGTTTACACCATCTTCACACGTACCACCATTCTGACACGTAACATTTATGCAGTCATCAATATCTGAAACATTCAAATATTGCATATATAATTATGGTTAATAAGAGGTATTGGCTTAAAATATGTTTATTTGTGCTGTGATTGAGGAAGAGAAAATTAGTTTATAGCTAAGGGCTGGTATTTGCGCATTTTTTATGGATGAAATTACATTTATTTCAAAGAACAAAATTCATATTTAGGTAAACAATTTTAAATATGAAAGAATATCGCAAGAAAAAAATTCTGATATATGTTTCCAGTTCAGATCAAAACATCCGTCCCTCAAGTAGCCACCCATTGGCGGTAATTCGGCAACCCTCGTTACCGCCCATTAGGCGGGTATCTTGGGACGGATAATCCGATCCTAACTGTAACATATGATTGATATTATTAATCCGAATCTGATCCTTTAACATCACAGCAAAGTAAGCATAGTCCATGAAATCTGTAAACTTATAGTTCATATTATTTACATGTATATATATTTTTCATGCCCCACATGGGGAAACACCAATAATTCACTTCGTCACATAACCATTTATGTGTCGTTAACCCCTTAACCCGCAGTTGACCCAGTTTCTGTTTCGAAGGGGTGTTGGTTTGAGGAGAAGCGTATTGTATTGTATTTGGCCGTAAATAGCATGACTTTGGGCGAGTTTAGTTTAATTAATTGTTTAAAATAAAGATAATGAGCTCTGCATTCTCTATGAATATACCATTTTAGGTGTTAAGCTTTTTTATCTAAAGGAAATATATTGATTTTGTCCATTTGAGTTGCATGTGAGAAAGACAAAAATTTTCTTTTGTGAGAAAAGGTTAGTATTTGCAAATTTAAATGATTTGTAGCAGGTTAATGATACAAATGACGACCACACCTCTTGGTTTGTTGTTTTTTAAATGCTCATGAAATGACAAATACTAGTACTTGAAATTGCATATGACGACTTACAAACAACAAAAACATCAATCCTCAAAAGAATAATCGAATTTGATTTGGGCATTATTGTATTTGTTGTTGATGATAAGGATGATGCTGTTGTTGGGTTGAAGTGTTTCGTTTTCATTTCTTTCCCAAATATCCCGTATGATACATATAGTTTTGTACACATTAAAATGAAACCGTACAATTTGTTAAACAAATACATGTACTGTAAAATAATTCTAATTTAAAATCAAAATATCAGTTTGTTAAAGACAAAACTGCTACTCAAGCCATTATTTATGTCAATATAATTGTTGAACTATTCCCTATTTCTGAATTGGATAAGTCTATCTTTCTATGCAGAACAAAGCAAAAGATAGAGTGAAATAAGAATCCCTAAAGAAAGCCCAACGCGGATGAATTGAAAATGTTGCAGGCTCGGTTTGATTGAGCCTGTTCATGGACGGTACTGTCAAGTGCAAACAACCGTCCACGTCCCCTATCATCGGCTTAAGCAGAATTCAACATTTAGCTAAACTGGTAAAATTTAGAACTTTGAAACATCCGCAGATGTGTTCATATGGCGGTTATGATGAACCTTCAATGTGACACGTTAGTGCCGTTCCATGAAAAGCGGCATATGGTCCCCAGGTAAAAAATGCGTGTGCCTTAAACGAGAAAACTATGGGCGGAACTAAATAAAATGGAATTTTGAAAGGTGACCTGAGGTTATGAAGCCAACACTTCTTGGAACTGTACCTTATATACATCAGAAGTGTTTTCCAGCTTAGATTGTTTTTAGTTTATTTGATATAAGACATTAACTTTAAACATCAACTTACTATGTTCACAATCAGGTCCATTATAACCTGCTGTACAAGTACACGTGTGATTGTTTACACCATCTTCACACGTACCACCATTCTGACACGTAACATTTATGCAGTCATCAATATCTGAAACATTCAAATATTGCATATATAATTATGGTTAATAAGAGGTATTCGCTTAAAATATGTTTATTTGTGCTGTGATTGAGGAAGAGAAAATTAGTTTATAGCTAAGGGCTGGTATTTGCGCATTTTTTATGGATGAAATTACATTTATTTCAAAGAACAAAATTCTTATTTAGGTAAACAATTTTAAATATGAAAGAATATCGCAAGAAAAAAAATTCTGATATATGTTTCCAGTTCAGATCAAAACATCCGTCCCTCAGGTAGCCACCCATTGGTGGTAATTCGGCAACCCTCGTTAACGCACATTAGGCGGGTACCTTGGGACGGATATTCCGATCCTAACCGTAAAATATGATTGATATTATTAATCCGAATCCGAACACCAATAATTCACTTCGTCACATAACCATTTTTGGGTCGAAGCACATCTCACAGTGGTTTTACAATTTTTTTTTCATGCATGGGAACGGGTATACCTGATGTGAAACTAATGAAGTGAAAGAAAAGAAAAACAACAATTACAGAAAAAAAATCAAAAAGAAAGAAAAAATACACAAAAGACAACAACAACAAAAACACAAAGAGACTTGGACGACACATGCATTCATACTCTCGCACTCATAATCGTATTTTAAAAAAATAGTTTCAAAGGCATCAACATTATATAAAATCTAATGCATGCTATTTTGGCTTGAATTATTTCTTAATTTCATAAGCTTAAAACAATAATTTTCATTGTAGAAATAGGATTTTCTCAGCTGACATTTTTCTTTTTAAAATTAAGACATAAATTTTCTAAAAGGACTCCCAACTTTATCAAACCTTGGTAACCTATTATTTATGATTGCTACCTCTTTATCAGTCTTGAGCTTTTGTGTTTTAAAGTTTTTGGCTACAATCATGGATAAAGAAAGATCAAGCATTTTACACTGATGAAATTATTGTTTAAAGTATACTAAAGATAAGATTTTTTGCGTATCATCTTTTGCATTATAGCCAAACATAATTTCTTTTATACCTAAAGATAAAAAAGGTTCTTCATTTATTATAAGAAATTCATTTATAAATTTTTGACAATGGGACACGGCCAAAATAGATGCACGATGCTTTCAACATCATTACTACAAAAAGAACATAAAGGACGTTATTTATACTTAATTTTGTATAAAAGATGATTGGTTTCAATAATCCTGTGTAAAACTCTTATTTGGAACCATTGCAACTTGGCACATTTTGTAATTCTAAAAGGCATTTCAAATATAATTTTCCATTCATTTTCACTAAAAGCTATATTAAGGTGTTTTGTCCATTTTTCGATACTTTTGGGCTTTGATTTGTTTTTATTTAATATATTATTGAAAGGTTTTGCTCAATTTATGTCTGAAATGATATTTTTATTAAGTACAGCGGTATGTCATGGCCAATGCTTTTCTGTGGGATGTTAGAGATTATATTATATTTATTTAAAAATTGCTTTACTGATAAAATCATACCATTAAAAATTAAGATTTTAGATTGAACATTGTATCTATTAATAAATTCATTATAAGATAACAACTTTTTATCAGATGCTATTAGGTGTTCTATGTTACAAACACCAGCATCGAACAAAGATTTTAAATATACGTACGCTTTTTTAACCAATTAATATGTTATTGTTATAAAATAAAGGATGTTTGACGAAAGAATGATTTTCGATTGGAATTATTATTATATATCTTGATAAGACTGTAAAGGTGTCCTTCCAAAAAAGATTGTTTGTTTCTTTTGCAAATTTATCAAAGTGATGGTTTCCGCAATGAAAAAAATTTGCATATCTATTTTGTCGTAAAGAATAGTTCTCCAACTAACATTTGAGATTATAATTCTCTTAAACCATGTTATTTTTAATGCCATTATAAAGGCAGAAATATTTATCATCTGCAAGCCGCCCTCAGCATAGTTTTTTTTATAATAACGGAAGACTTAATGTTTACATTTCCTTGTCAAACAAAGTCATAAAACATTTTATTTAGTACACTGATTACATCTTCAGAAGGGTTTGGTAGTGAAATGTGAGAATATTTCATTTTCCCTATCCACACAACCTTAGTTTTATCCAAAAAAATCTGACCATGTGTGATAAACCGTAACTGTTGTGTGTTAGTGTTAACACAATAGGATTAAAAATCAGGCATTCTACTTTGCGTACCTAACTGATGTTTATATCAAAGATTGCTGAGTGAATTTTAAAATAAAAACATTTCATTTCTAAATGTTTTATTTTGTTCTTGTATTCGATTCATTACCTTATATTTAAATTATGACATTTATATTCTAAAATAAATCAAATGTAGAACTTAAAAAGATTATTTTAAAAAAAACTCCCTTCCTATTGTGTTGATAGTCGGACAGAATTACACAAATAGAATACCATAATCGCGGTTTTTGAATTCTTACAAATCGCGAATATAGCGAATATCACCCTATTCCACCGTGTATATCCAGTAACGCCGGAATGTGAAAATAACGCACGATTCGTGCAATAAGTAACGCAGAATTGTGCAATACATGGCAGATACCTGACAGGATTTACAACGCGGTAAGAAAATTGGCCAATTTATTTTTTATTTAACCGAACTGAAAAAAATCAATAGCTGCATACGGCTGCGAAGACATTGCTCTTCGTCCCTCATTAAGATTATTTCCACGAAATTGTTTACTTTTCAAGATCATTCGTGAAAATAATGGCTTGACCACCGTTTTGAGCGAGATTTTGGCTTTTTGTCGGCTCTTATAAGTACAACAATGTATATTATTCCGTATAATTTAGATTTTCAGTAGGCAAGTTACATAAGCTTAACTTCTTGTAATACAGAAGATTGAAAATAAACTGATAAAGAATATGATTCAAGACGTTTTTATGAGGAAACGCCGATGTACGTGAATTGTGCTTCGCGGTAACGCCGGAAAATGTGATATTTTTCTTATATGGTACAGAATTATTACACAGGTTTAACGCCTTTTATAGGCAAGTTAATCAAGTTATTTGCGACCTATAGTCAGTGTATTTTCTTCGTAACTTATTAAGAAATATAATTATGATAATTAGATCTTGACAAACTTTCAACATATTGATTGCAAAATGTAATATAGTACAATTTGACAACTGTTTCCTGAAATAAAAATATTTGTGAACATGCTGCCCACGTCTGATCTTGTTAGAAAATAAGAACAATAAACTTAGTTTGCAAATAAATTGAATATAAAAATAATAGAAAACAATCAAGAGAAGAGTATATGTTATGCCTGAAATAATGCACCAGTAAAGCTTGAAAGTCTCCATATGTCCTTTATTGTGTTGGCCAACCAAACCAAATATTTGGCTGTAGCAATTTGCCTGGTGAACTTCTGTGAAAATGGATTATTTATTTAATTAATTTTTTCTCTTATATAAGGAAGTAACTTGTATTCAAAAGATATTTTACTTAGAAACTATAATGCCCAAAGCTTGTAAAAGCATAACCTTATTGTCGTAGAAGTCCTTTTATATCCGTAGCGATCCTTAACTATTTTTGAACTTGCACAACAATGTGCTACGGAAAAATCAACCGTAGCGTATCCCTACTAGTCCGTATTAAACCGTACTGATACGTACTGGTCCGTACGAAATCGGTGCTAGTCCGTAATGATTCGTAGGCCCAAACTTGTCAAGGATTTCCACGTTTTGATACGGAGAACTACGTTTTGTACCGTTACCCTACGTATAAGCTACGCTTTTAATACGGCATTGAAACGGAAAGCCATGACCGTAATACGTTGTACAATGGAGAGGCAGGGATACTGTTTAAAACGTTGCAACACGATGCAGTACGGAATTGTACGGTCCACCACTGTTTAGTATGTCATTTACCTTTTCATAGATTATAAATACTACATTCCTGTTAAAAACAGACATATTTGTGTTTTCATATTGCGAACATAATCAACGATGTTTGCCATTTACTGGGTGAAACTGGGTATTGATACGGCTCAGACTGTATAGGCAGTGGTCGAGCTGCTTGATGACATGCATAAAGTTTAAACTTATATTAACATCGTAGTGGTTCCGCAGTGCGCCTGTCCTTATTCGTGTCACTCCGTATGAAACCGTGCCTCTCCCATGGTTTTTACTTAAAATTTGGCGGTAGATCCGTACTCATACCGATGCGATTCTGTACTGGAACCGTAGCAGACTACGGAATTTGACATTTCCGTTGTAATCCGTGAACGTTTAGACCGTAGCTCAATCGTGGCGATATTCGTGAATATGTGACTGGTGTATAATGTATTGAAAGGCAATTTTCAGGATAAAAGCCACTGTATATCTATCTGTCTTCCTGCCAAAATATGTCGTTTACAAGAGATTCACTGGCCCCCACCCTCCCTACTATCACAAAAAATGAAATAGATAGTTACCTTATCGATCAGTCAACATACATTTTAAAATAGAATACATATGATTTGTGTTTTCAAACAGCTCCAGAAAAAAGTTATGTTCTCTATCATCTAAAATTATGTTGATACATAAATATCATATTCGAACTCAAATTGTTTAAAATATACTAAACTCCTAGCATGCAGTCATACTTTTCTCATCCGTAGTTCAAATTACCGGCTACATCGGATATGGCCTTTTACCTTTAGCATGCGAATAAGGAAACTTACCAAATTTGAGGTCCAAAACGTTATCCATATACGTAACATTGACGCAATACATGTTCAGAGTCGGTTTCAATGTCGACCGAGTTTGATCCGTAATCGATTTTAATAAATATATATCTCTTCAAGGCAGCCTTTTAATATGTTTGTAATGAATGGAAATAAATCATGTCCGATTTAAATAAGTGCACGGAAATTCCGTGCGAATACAATGTGCCTGTCATGTCAATATTTTCTATAGTTTTATATTTTCAACAGGAACATACGTTGATTTTATATAAGACTTATTTATTATTACAGTGTTTATTTATTAATCAACAGATAATTTAATCGTCATATAAATCAGATACACTAACTCGTATTTTCTTCTTCTTTTTTCTTACAGACCTGAATAAGACAGTTTGCTAGGACAAATCATAATTTATCCCTTGGACTTGAATTTATCCCTTCGTCTTGGACTATTTGTTGTTTATCCTAGCAGACTGTCTTCTTACGTCTGGAAGAAAACACTTTTGAAGAAAAACTGTACTGTATCAATTACAGAATCCCTCTAAGTGCAGTCTGTCAACGTCTTTGACTTCAAGAATAAAGACGTGAACACGTAGGTTCGTATCCTAAATCAGCCACTTTTATTTTTTTGATTTTAATAATAGAACTGCCATTCTCTTATAGATTGTGCTTTTTTGTGTTGATGTTGTTTTTGTTGTTGTTGCTTCTACTATCTGTGTAGTAGTTAAGTATTTTTATTAACACCACTGCATATATAAAAGAGAAAAACAGAATCCTTAAAGAACGCCCAAAACGGAAAAACGGAAAATATTGCAAATGAGCATAGATTTAATTATAATGCATTTATGAACGCTGAAGTTTTAAAGTAAAATTGCTTTCTCGCTGAATGCAGCACACGCAGAATTTTATGCCGTTTGCTATGATCGCACAAAAAAAGCTTATATGTAAATGATCTATTCTACCATTATAAATTGTATGCATAGTAATAATATCTTAAGATTGTTCGTGATGATTCCTCATTTCCATAAATACGCATCAGTACATAAGTTATAATTTATTATTACCCCTCAATTTTATGTAATTTTAATTTCCCATAGGTCTGCTGGGAGTTATTCTTACTGTTAATGCAAGTGTACCACGTGACTAAGAATTTTGTACTGTTACATGGGTAACAGTACTTTTTAACAGTATAAAATCTGGTCACGTGGTCTATTTTCTAAAAAAAATGAAATAAAATGGCCGCGATTCATTTTTTTCTCGATTCATTATCATTTTCGACGTTCACCACGATAGGACATCAACACGCCATAAAATTTAGTTCTTTGCACCCTAGAGTGCTTTTCGCGTATAAAATATCTTTTTGTTGAATAGTCAAAAAGTAAACATCCGTTTTCAACGGAAGTAATTGCAATGTGAATATTTATGTGTCAAACTGGAACATGCAGAGATTAAAGCATGCAACGAAGGATTATTTAACTTTTTTTTCAGTGCAACGTTACAGATATGGTGGACAGGAATAGAACATCATGGTTATTTTGTCAAAACCCATGCGAAGAATATTCTGGATACAGAAGGATCAGATTTCACAGATCATAACCGTAAAAATGGGTTATTGTGTTGTTGTTTTTTGTTTTTTTTAATAAAAAACAGCTTATCGTATGTTTATGACTAATGTCTTGTTGATATCATCACTTGCTTAAAGAATAAAAGAAAAAGAAAACTTCTCAAGTAGGCCTAAAGTACAGTTAGAAATTAAAGAGTAAGGGCACTTTAGTTATTGTTAGTCTTTAGTCTAGGTTTATTTTTGTTACAGTTAGATTTAGTTGACAATTTCAGATCATCACAGTATTCTTGTTCGGGGTAATAAAGTAAATAACACATGGGTTTGTGAGTAACAGTAAAAATATCATCCCTTGTAAAATACTGTTACTCGCGGCTACGCCTCGAGTAGCGGTATTTTCCTCGGGATGATAGTTTTTTCTGTTACCCACAAACCCATGTGTTATTTATATAATAAAATTTTATGTTTAAAGATTATGTTCATAATGATTTCAGCTAAGAAATTCTGCTGAGTATATCATGAACTTAATATACTGCATCGAAAATCACCTTTTTCGTTTTCGTTGTTGGAGGTGATAATTGATTTATCTGTCATTAAGCTTTTGGTCCGTATTGCAAAGTTTATCAAAAGTGCAAAAATTGCTTTATAGTCTTCCGTAACTTTTGCGTCTTTTACTTTTTTTGTACTTCGGAAGAAGAAATAGTTGCATAGTGGTTGAATGTTTATCAAGTTTATTAAGTGATACCTGTAAATTGTACGTTATAAACCTGAATGAAATATTTTTGAAACAACTCTTACACTAAGTTATAATGAAGACAAAGTTAACAGCAATAATCTATGATCACATTTATTTCAAAAGTAAGATAACATAATATATTGTCTTATTATTAAAAACAAATATATTGCATTTAAAATCTCATTGTATGGTTCCTATCTTTGGATTCCAGGAAACATGGGATATTTGTTTATCAATAATTTCTTACATTTTATCGCTTTTATGTTGTTTGTTTTCTTGTTTTCTAAAACAAATCAAAATCTGTTATTTACTGCTTTACATGCAAAGAAACTAAATATACTAAATGGAACTGCGAAAATAGATGTGTCGCTATTTTATTAGGAAGTAGTATTGAGTACAAAATTAAGAACACAATTATTGATAAGAATGGAAATAACATTACATAAAACATGATCATTTGTGTTAAAAGAAAACTCTTAAGCCCCTTTGATCCTAATTGAACCAAAATTTTATGAAGATTTTTCTTATAATATAAAACAAACACTGGTAATGAATATTGAACAATATGTGGGGACTGTAACTTAGTTATTGGTCCACAACTTGACTATTACAGTACAATTATAAAAGTGTAAATAATAAGATATAACATAATTAATTGTATACATGATTATTGTCAGGTTAATATTTTTGGAGAACTCTTTCCAAGTTAAAGTCAGGTGTGATAAAGTTGAGTTTATGTAGAAGACGTTTGTGTTGGAATTCAGTGCATTCAATTCTGTTTTTAACAAGAAGGCAGAATTTTAACAAACAACGCAGTACACTTGTATAATGAGGTATCCTTTTTTTACTTTATACTCTTTACTTCTACGGAATAAATTCAACCAACCTGTAATTGTCGTTGCCGTAGAGGGTGAAGCTGTCGATGTCGTAGAAGGTGAAGTCATTGTTGTCGTAGAAGATGAAATCATCTTAACCATAGAATGTGTGGTCGTTGTTGTTTTAGTAGTAGTTGTCGTAGGTTTCGTTGATGCAGATGATTTGGATGTTGTCTTTGTAAAAAAGAAAAGTTAGCATAATACGTACTTTTTCTAGAACTAACTTAAACTATATTCGACATCAATGGTTTGAGAAATATATGAGACATTTCAAATCAAACCAGTTTGTTTAAATGTCTTTCTAGTGTATGGTTACATGAACCTTCAGAAAGCTTTTGTTATTGTGCTGTAAGAGAGCATTTTGTGACGTAAAATATTTTACAAATAAATATGCATTGAACAATATAAATTATAGATAGATAGATAAATAGATATATCATATATAACTATGTCTAAGATCTTCATAGTAACATTTTGTTTTCCAATACGCAGGGAATCCTTGGAGGGATATTTATTATTTGTAACTTATTAATAAATGATATAGAATCATGTGTTGATAACAATGGACCTAAATCAAGGGTAACGTAATATGTAAACCTTTGGATCAGACTAGGATAAAGATTCTCCAAAACTTAGGTCATGAAAATACCAGAATGAAAAAATGGTTGAAACATAAATTGACAATTTATGGAAAATGATAAACTAAATTAACTATCCGTTTGAAAAAAGATCAAAATGTCATATTAGCTCTCCTGGAAACAGTATATGAAGACTTGATATAAGATATCAATGTCATAAATACAAGAGGATAAAAGTCACATATTTTGACTAATTTCAAATATTTCATATATTATGTTATTTCAACTGTTTGTTTGTTTTGTGTGTGCGTACGCGTGTTTGTGTGACGTAATATTATTATATAATTGCGTAGATCTTACATAGAATGTGTTCAACTACTTCATTGTATATAATATATGTATGATATTTATGAATGGAAAAGAAATTAAAAGTAATAGATAAATGTTATAGTAATAAATGAACCTCCAGGTCTCTCGTAAATATGTGTATTTAGTGAAAACACAATTAAAAGTTGAGACAGTACTTTTCTAACACATTTTTAGTGTTAGATAATAATGACAAATAGTTTGTTTAACCATTTTTGTTAATTTCTAAAAGTAAATTGACAACCAGCCCGTCGTTTGTGGAAAGCAAAAGTAATATTGTAAGTTACTTGAACAGTTAATGTTGTATTGAGTCTTCCTAACCTTGCCGACCAAGAAAGACTTCAGATACACCGCTATTTCAGTAGAACCACCGAACTTACGTAAGCTATCACAATAGCTTTTTCTTCACATGCATGTAACTTTGGATGTTTTATCCAAAGTTACATGCATATTTCATCCGACTGCTACGATGAGCAAAACAAGTTTTTATACTATAAACTTAAACGTCAAATTTAGTAATGACTGAAACTTTGAAATTAACTTAACTTAAATCTCCTTTTTTACACTTTTTTACATTTTGTTTAGATAACAAAAAAAATCACAAGTTTGATTTAAATTGAAAAACAACAAATCGTTATGCTTTATACTATTCAACTTTTGACGAAATTTAACATTATCAGATGAACCTTGTCTGCTTTCCACAATATCCAGCATTACCCATTTTGAAACGGATAATACTGCCAAAAATACATCCATGATTTTTGTCGAAATTTCACACATTGCCAAGCAAAATCCATTATGCTAAGTTCTGAATAATTCTGGTACTGCTATGCGCTAAATTTGGTACACTCTCTTGGATATTAATAATCACATGGAGATCTAACAGGTACAACCTAATAATTAATAACCGTGACTTGTGGTCGAAAAAAATGTGTTAAATATGCACTCACCAAAACCAAAAGGAATATTAAAATTGTTGACATCCTTGCCATTCTTTTCTTATGCCTCTCTTTCAAAATCTGTAAAATAAAAGAGAAAACAATATATGTATCGCTTACAATAATAGCGAGTGTTAAGGTAATTTGGTGGTATCATTGAAACCAACATACAAAGCAATGTTCACATACGCTGACAAACTTATACGTAATATCGTGTCAACAATATTTACACATGGTAATTTAGGCATATAAATAAGGCATGTTAATATAAGCAGATTATAAATTTTGGAAAACTTTAGGTTTATACTAAATTTACATTGAAAACTGAAATTAACTGAAAGAAATGAAAAGAGCCGTCTTTTTAAATTATAGGACATGATCATATGTTGAAACAACGTCATTGTTTAAAACAATAATTACTATATCCATGGTGAGGCAATCTGACGCCAAAAAGACAAAAGATATTCACAAAAGATACAACAATCCAAGGACCGTGTAGAGTTTTCCGCTGTGCATCTTTTTATCTCGTTTAAAAGTTAGATGGATTCATCATTATCATATAACTGATATTATATATTTGCACCAGGCACATGTTGGCATCACCTTCATAAGACCTTCGCCTCAAAATGAGAGTTTTAAGTGTTATATGAATGTACTTATTACATGACAAACATGTGGTCAAAAAACTATGTTAAATTACATTGTTGTCTTATGACGGCTAAATAGGACAAAAACTTGAACCATGCAATTCTCAAAAATAATACTAATAACGTTATAAAATGTCTCGAAATCAGATTTCTACACCATGGAAAAACGTCCAACAATGTCAGTGTTAGACATAAACTTTGATTTGCAATTCTATGCTTTTATCCCTATTTTAAACGTTCGGGATATGAAAGGTGGTCAGTTACAGCGGACTACTCACCCAGTACAAAATATTGCCAAATCGACAAAAGTCAAAATTATAACATCAAAGGGTTGCTTGAAATAAAACATTTGTAGGCAGAAGGTACATTAGATAAAAAAAACTGTGACATGGTATTGGTGCTGCGGATATAATTATGTGGAGGAGTACATGGTTTAAGCAAGGCAGTAATCTTTCAGGCTTGTGGTCACAAATCAGGAAACTAGCCGCGCATTATTTTAAGTCCGTTTTGTCTCTCATAATACTTTTTAAATAGAAAAAACCCTGAATTTTCTTATTTCTACTTTCAATTGTCAAATTAAAGCACGTGGACTTTTGTTAAACTACGCATCGTCACATAACAGGGCTGCCGCATAAACTTGACCGATGTGATTTTCAATATCTAAACAGGACTCGCTTATGTGGCAAAAAGACACATTTTCATCACATATATAAAAACAATTACTAGTTAATTAAACACATACGATAGTGATAAACTTTCAACAAGATCTGACATAGTATTTTGTTCCGTTATCAGCCACTCTCTCCTAGGGTTTGGTTTGGGTGCAGTAGTTACCATGACTTTGCATTGCGTAGAATAAAATAAGTTATGAAAACCAACCAAGGATATAGGGTAATGAATGTCAAAAATAATAAAATGAATTTTACTGACTCGGTCAAGGACCATAACATTGTCATTACATTATGTAAGTGCAAATGAAAATAGCGCTGTTGTTCCTCTAAGTTAATATATATATATATATATATATATATATATATATATATATATATATATATATATATATATATATATATATATATATATATATATATATATATATATATATATATATATATATATATATATATATATGCAGCAAAGAGGCATAGTTGCGCCCCGTATAAGCAATTTATTCTCTAAACGTTTTATAAGCGCTATTTTTGATTATATTAATTCACATCAAAAGTATATTATTCAAATGGCCATAGTTAACATACATGTACATATATTACCACCATTACAATACGACGTGTTGGAATACTTAAAGTTTTACATGTGTTAATATTGATGAAAACAGAAAATGAGACAAGTCTATGTGACTTTAATATCTAGATAGTGAAGGACATAGAATAGTTTCTTGTATATATTGTACATTGTACACACTACGTTCTGTGCCATAATGTCGAGTAAATTATGATAATAAAGTTTTCAATAAAATAGAAACTTATCGTTATTTGTGCAGTTGTTATAATTTTGATTTTTACTTTCATTAACTGAACAGACAATTGTAAAATGCTGTGACGAAGAAGCACACTTAAAGTGTTATAAAAGAATCAATTTATTTGAATAACTTATGGAATGCAATTGTTATAATTTATATGCATTTTAGATTTCACTTCATGCTTTTCCATAGGAGGAAAATATGTCCGAGTGAATATATTAAAAAGAAAAACTTCTCAATTCTAAACTTTTGGTTTTGCCACTCACCGTGACTGTGTGACACTATGCATTTGTACTGACCAGAGGAAGTTTCTGCAGTGGATACTTCTTATTCTGACCAAACAAATGATTAGTGCTTGTATAAGAGTCAGTAATATTTTTATTAAAACGCAAATGAAAATGTTTTCAAGAAACAGATTACTGTGTGGAAATTTTTGAAAGCATTTTGTTATGATCATAGGACTAAATTATTATATAATTATGTATATCATTGTTGTTAGGTATATGCAAGAGGAAGCGACGACAATGTTTGTCATATATCATTGAATAATGCTGTGTGACTTGTTATCTGTCCGTGAAACAGGTTTTGAAATATTAGGAATTGTGTTTCTGGCCACACTGAAATACAAAATTGTTCAGTTTTAGATCCCCTGCCCCCGAATGATTGCTGGCGTCTACCATTCTTGTGTATCAAATTGAAGTTCATGAATCTCATTTATAGCCTAAAATCATTAAAACCAGTCTACAAAATTTGGTGTTCAAAATACGACTTTACTTAAACGAAAAATATTTAAACATTTTTCGAAATAAAACGTCTTCCATTGCTTGAAATAGACCTCTCGCATGCTCGAAGCAATTTTTTTATATATAAAAACAGTGCTGACACACTCTTATTGGTTTGTCATGATGCCTAAGACATTTAATATGAAAAAGGCAAAGCCTCAAAGAGAGCTCGACTGTCTTTTACCGCGAAATCGTATAAAATAATCGTTCAATTTTATTTTTAAATTTTCCGTTTTAAAACTGGCATTTGGTATTTTATACACTGCTTCCGTTTACTCTGGTTCCCTGTCCCATTATGGTTCCCATAGAAGTGTGCGGGTGACCAGTCTACACATCCGTTTTCAGTCAGAATTCCTCGGTTTTTAGCGTTATCTTGTAATTCGAAACTTCGAGATGTGTCAATTCAGTACTTCGGACGAAAGTTTTTTTACCATCACTTTTAGCAGGTACTTGCGTTACCGTAAAGCTCGCTTTTCGAGCAGGGCCTGCTCATCGAGCTCGCTATTAAGAATACCCCTATTTAACGACATAGAAACTTTTTATAAGCAAAGCACCAACAATAAAGCCCTAAATACGACCATATACATCAACCTTAAAGTTTCAGCATAGCAGTCAGCAGGCATCTTTGCAAAATGGTTGACAACGTCGGCACGGGATTAACCTAGTGGTTATAATAAATGAAAATGTTTTCTAGATTCCAGGTAAACGGATGGATAGATAGAAAAAAATCAGATGTTTTATGACAATACAATGAAACAGTTCTTACACTCTTACACACCGATGAATTTCGTCCAATGCAAAACGACACCGATGTAGAAGGAAACAACGTGTTTTACGCTGTATCTTATTTAAGCCTTGTTCCACGATAATATGAAAAAGGCAAAGCCTTAAAGCGAGCTCGATTTACTTTTACCGTGAAATAGTATAAAATAATCGTTCATTTTTATTTTACATTTTCCGTTTTAAAACTGTCATTCGGTATTTTATACACTGCTTCCGTTTATTCTGGTTCCCTGTCCTATTATGGTTCCTATAAAAGTGCACAGGACGCCAGTCTACGCACCGTTTTCAATCAGAATTCCTCGGCTTTTATCGTTATCTTGAAATTCAAAAAGTTGCGATGTGTCAATTCGGTACTTCGGACGAAAGTGTTCAAAACCATTACTATTTAGCAGGTACTCGCGTTACCGTAAAGCTCGTTTTGCGAGCACGCCCGGCCTGCTCTTCGAGCTCGCTATGGTAAATTATTCTCATTGCATGAAATCAGGCAGGTGTACAGCCCATAACTTGTACACGGATATAAGAAAACATTATCTTTCCATTTGACGAAATTGTAAATAAAAATGTTTAGCTACAAAGCAAGAAATTTAAAATGGGTGCCGAAGTGTTAAGCTGGTGTATGTGCTCGTAATTTTGTTGATGACTTGCAAAAATATCGTGTCATCCGCAGTAAATCAAGTGTCTTATTCAAAATCATAAAAGACACGACTAAACCGATATGTCGCAGTTAAGAGGTATTAAAGCGTTTTTCCTCTCTTTAAAATTCCTTAGTTTGAATGTTTGCTTTAGTTTGGGATAAGAGATAACTAACTGATTTTGGTTGTACATTTTGGTTGTTTATTTGTATCGCTGATGAAACTGATTTTCCTAGATGGACTCCTCAATCAATTTTTATACTTTTCATTATTAGTCTGAGGGATATTTAATTTAGTCAAGTAACCTATAAAGTCTGGTCTGACAAGAAGTAAAGGCTAATACTCAGTAACTTAAATTTCAGTACCATCAGGGTTAGGGTTAATAACCTGTCGTATAAAATACATGTATGACACTTGCTGTTTTTGGATGTCTGCTTGTTGATTTAAAAGCACCAAGTTGTATGTAAATCCTTCTAGAACGTATATACTAAGTCCGACGTACTTGTTTGTAATAAAGAGAAGTAGACTATTGCAGAATCACACCCTATCCTAATTTTGTTAACAAAATACTTAAATCTTTCCATTTAACGTTTTATTCTTACAGCATTATATTTGTATAAATCATCTCATAAAGTAATAAAATGAAGTATACTTACATCTACATGTTTAGCCACTGTAAGAATGATGATAATAAAGACTACTTTTCGTCAATATTCAAGTCTTCAGATGTCCGTTCGATTACACTTTTATACTGTCC